AAGTTCCGGTGTGAACGGAATATGATTAATACTCCTTTCCGGTCTGATTTTCGCACTAAAGCAAATTTAGATCTTAGATTAGGTTTTACCGAAAGACCATGAGAAATATAATGAGAGGAAGAAGGAGAAGAAGAAGGATTTATTCGCTTTCCAACGACCACTCATCGTATCGAGAATTCCTCCTTGCGCACAAGTATTCAACTTTATCTCGCGACTTCCTTAAATAATTCAGAGGATATATTCACCAGGATATATATATCGAGACTTTGATTTATTAGTCACTCATTTCCTATACGTAGATCGGGAATTTCATTTTTTTCATTTAAATTCGTAATTTAAAACCCTTATCAGTCGTTAGATTTTATTTTTCGTTTTTAAATATGATAAATAAAATAAGAAAAAAATATTCTCTTTTTTCTCGTTTGTGAAAGATTTTGTTGATTCTTTCACATATAACGACGGGCACCGACCCGAAAGGCTCTTGTCACGGCACGGAAGCAATTCGCGGAATTTAATTAAGCACTCTGTGGCCTTTTTTTTCATACTACCCAAAGCATTATTCTACTCGACTTTGAGCAAGAGACTCTTGTACCAAAGATCGCCATAACTAATTGCTCCATGAATTTTTCTTACTATGTCGAATCCATCCTATTTTTTTTTTCTTATATTTATTTTATTAAATTAAACGAAACAAAATATAGAAACTATTTGAGAAAAGAATGAACGGAAAATTTCCTTTTTATATAATATTTCAAAATATCAAATAAATTAACTTAAATTAACTAACATAAGAGTCATTCGTTTTTCTTTATTTTTTTTTTTATAGACCATCACTCTTTGCTTTCTTTCTCACACAGATACATTTTTGTATTTCTTGTATTCCATAGAAAAGTATACTTTTTATATTTGTTGTTTATATCAGAATAAACAAAAAAGAGAGCAGACTTGGTTATTTGAAAGGTTCCTTTATCCTTTCGTTCGTTCTTTTTCTTCATCGATCGAAGCACCTCGAGGTGTGTACTCCAATGATTTACAGGTAGCAATAACATTTGCATTTTAGTGCGGTCCCATAAAATTGTTAGAAAATCTGTGCAGAAGAATTGGCCTGCCCCATTCGTGTGCACTTTTACGTGCTCTCGTTTTCTTTTACTCTATCACACAACACATTAACATAAAAATTGGATTTTTATTATAATAAAAGTCTTTTGTGTTCTATGAGATAACTCATGTGGTAAGAAAAGCCAAGGGGGAACCATTAAATTGATCCTAAAAATGTCACAACGTTAACGAGTATAAATATTTGTAGAAATTGCACAAGTGTATAAAGGGTTGCATATCTCTAAGTGCAATTTAATTAATTTTATGTAATCAATACATTGATAATATTAAATATTATGTATATAACATTATTTATATATTATTAATATAATATTTGTCATGTATTATATAACGATAAGGAAAAAGTTAGGAATGAAGTGAGAAGAAAAAAAAGAAATTAACAATTTAAATCTCTATTTTTTATTTTATTTTTTTATTTTGCATATAAGTCACACCTTTTCTTTGTTAATTTTGTTATTCCAATTATTCTCGATTGTATTTTCAAGGAGTGTTCATAGCTTTTACATGCACCGTTTACTTCAGTAATAATCAATGACCTTATCCAATAAATTCAATCATGATTATTAAACAGTTTTGTATTTTCCAAAGAGCATCATACATACATACATTGATCATATAATGACGCCACACTACGTCATGTGTTCTCAGAAATAAACGAATCAGTGTGAGATCAAAGTTAAATCTGAGATGACATCATGAAATAAAATTGCGATAAAATATGAAAGAAACTTTTCGTTGATCAAAGACTTTCATTATTTATTATTCTCGATCGTTATGACATTTTTTGTTTACTATCAGGAAATGATAAAAATTATAATTAAAAAAAACTAATAAACTATTTAATAATTCGTAAGAACTATTTATAGTATATTAGCAGTAAATAAAAAAGAAAAAAGAAAAGAAATAAAAAGCATATATGTTTCATTTCAAAAAAAGAAACACACAGACAATGTTTCATCGATGAAAACTCGGTTGAATCCTTTCACAAGCAAGTATGATGGTTGTATGGTAGAGAAACTCAGCCACAAAATAATTGACGAACGTGTCACCCGCATATATAGTTATATGTATATCGGTTTTATCGAATATGCGATTCGCAGGTGTTACAATTAGAGAGGTTGAACTGAGGATAGTGTATAGGCTGGCCGCCACACCCTCGGTTGTTACTGCTTACACACAACCCTACAAGAGCCACAGAGTTGTGGTCGATACGTTTGATCCGAGTGGCAAAATCCGTTCCATGGTTTAACCATTCCCCCTATTTCCTATAGCTGTTCGTCAATCGACCAATCTTTCCCTATTCTCTATCATCATCAAAAATCAAAAACTAATAAAACATAATAAAAGATAATACATCCAGCGACAAATCATTTTCATTAACACTATGAAATCTCATTAGTTATTACTTTCAATAAATAAAATCATACAGGTATTGACAATCAAATAGTTTATGTTAAATGTTTTTAGAATATTTGATGTACAATCAATTTTGTATCCTTCTTCTTTTATTTCTAAACTTATTCTTATACTTCATTAATTACTTATTATCAATGTTTTAATGAAAAAGTCAACACTTTGGTCTTTTTCTTTTGTGTCTTTCCATTTCGTATCTCTTCTATACTTCTATATCTTAGCTTTTTCTTCTTCTCTCAACTTTCACATTTCCAAAGTTAATCTTCTTCTTTCTCCCTAGCAAGGTAAAATTTCATTTACTCGTATTCTCTCTCGATATCTTTTCAAGCTCTCTTTCTACATTGACTACAGACGTCATGCGCTCTAGTTTAAACCAACCCAAGGAAATCGAAGTAGTTTTAACCTGTAGTCACTTCATATTACCTAACTCAATTTCAACTTTAGGGCTCTTTTATTCCTTTTGTTAAACCCCGCAGGCGATAATACAGTACTATCCCCTTCCTATACGTGTGTAACAATATTTTATATAATAATAAATATTTGTATGTGTGTGTGTTTGAACCAATTTATCTCGATACTCGAATAAGATTTTATCGATAAATACAAATTATCGAAATAATGAAAAAATACTTTCTTCGTTACTTTAAAGTATGTTTTATACATTTAATATATTTCGTCTTACATCGTAGACTCGTAAATTGAACAAATTATTATTCGTACATTTGTGCATTGATTAAATTTTTCGTAGACTCGTAAATTAAAATAAAAAACAAATGCTGTCTTTTATCTCATTCTCATCTTAGGCTAAATCCTATGTACGTTTGTCTCTTTTTAGTATCGTATTCGTTTCCATTACCATGGATTTTCGTTCGGTTTTTTCAAATCATCCCCATTAAAAGAAAAGAAGTTTTCACTTAAAAAAAAAAAAAAAAAGAAACGTACATAAAACTGCTTTTTAGGAATTACTCTCTTTCAGTTTTAAGTAGTATACGTAGGAATGTAGTCAGACGTAACATACTGTAAAGTAAGCCGGATCATTGCAAGTAGAAAAGATGTACGCTTGAGTATACGTAGGATAATTCACATATCTCTCTATACATATTAATACATTGGAGATAGAAAAAAAAAGGATGGTACAATTTCAACGAAGAAGAAGAAGATTAAAAGTTTATCGATTATTTATCTAAAGTAAAGAACAAAATGTGCGAACAAACGAATAAATTTATCGAATTTCGTTAAAACGTTGAAAGTAACCAGAAAGTATAAAGAAGAAGAAGAAGAAGAAGAAAAAGTGTAGAAAAGAAAAGAAAGTAGAAAGGAGAAGTATTAGAAAAGTTAGACGTACTTAGAAAGAAAAAAGAAAAGAAAAAAAAAAGAAATATTCGCTTGTTGCTTTACAGCCACTTGAAAATCGGCTTTTATTTAAGAAACGTGCCGTTTTATGGAACCTCATTTCAAGCACGTACAACACTGGTTGCCAAAAGGGAAACTTGAAAATAATAAAAAGACCAATCGCCGTCTTGTTGTCGTCTTCGTTGTCAGATATGTGTTTTGGGGTGTTTTAGAATGAAAAATAGGAAAGAAAAAAAAACACCTTGAGAGAATTTCGATGTGAGTGAGTGATTCATTTTTTGAAACGTATGCGAAATGTTGAAAGACATCGCACGACTTTTGCAATCAAGACAATAAAATGATCGAAAAATTCTACGTGAATGTGTGTGTGTGTGTGTGTGTGTGTTTGAGAGTCTTTAAAGAAGTAAGGGTTACAAATTTTTCTTCCCTTTTTTTTTCATTGAGATGTTACGTTTGGCTTCGTGCCAAATACTATAGTGTCTGACTACTACTCGACTTTTACTACTGTCCCATCTAAACTCACCGATTTTCTACCCTTTATCAAAAGTCTAACTTTGAGATAAAAAGAGATTAAATTAAATGAATATTTTGTTCGAATTTAAATTCAAATTGTTGATGTTATTTTTTTCTGATAAGTGCGTGTGTGTGTGTGTTGCATTATAATAATAATAATTTATAGCAATAGCAGTACATTGATATCATATTGCATCGTCTCGATTAAAGTAAATACTTTGATAGTACAAACATAAACCCACACGTATACACAAGTAGACACATATATACATACTTATGCAGATATAATATCTATGTACATATACCCTCTTTAACCATCAGTCGACCTTCTGTACGTTGTTAATCCCTGAAAATTCTCGCGAGGGAGGATAAAAGGAAAATATTAAAGGGTCCCCAAGAGATATATGTGTGTGTGTGTACACACTGTGATTGTTGCTGAAAATTGAACTTTTAAACACGATTTACTTTATGGTACATTTTCTACTATAATAATAAATATATAGGCGTAGTAAAGTTAAGTATATACATACTCGTATTATATTTAATAAAAATATTTGTTGAAAAACTAGACGATTAATTTTTCTTATTCGATCTCGTTCCAGCGGGAACGAATCTCGTGGGAAAATTTACTCAAAGTGTACGAAGGATCGTTCAAGATGTCAAGGATGAAGGAACATCGAGTGAGTATATATAGATATTCTCTTTACTTTTGTATATTTTATAATCGAGTGAATATAAATATATTATTTCCACATATTCATTTGATGCATAAGTATTTATAAAGCAACCAGTCAAATGATCAGTCATTTACAAGAATTTATTTTGTAAATTATTAAATGCAGATAGAAACGTAGATTATGTTATCATTTTATAGAAAAATTGAATGAAAAGAAATTTAATAGAAAATATTAGAGAAAAAGTAAGTTAATTTTCTACTCGAATTCAAAAGGTATCTTCTCTTGTAAGTAATTTGATGAGAAAAAGAAAACATGGTTTCTTTTAAACTTGTAATAAGAGTTGAGATGCAATAATCCAATCCGATGAATCTCAAAGACGTTTTATAGGAGTGGAAATCGGTGGAAATAAGTGTTTGGCTTTTAGCCAATGCAGACAGGTTGTTAGTTTCTCTTGAATGGAACTTCACTGCTGGACGTTGTCCTATCTATTCGTTTATGGGGGTGTGAGAATAGGGTCGAAAGGGGAGTTACGTAGGATTCGACTAACGACATGTTACGTGCCGAGTTAGCTCTATTAAACTTAGATTAACACCTATCTAATTAACACGTTACTTCTTGGCATGCCAATTCAACGGGGGTTAACTTAATACAAACGTGTTAATATTATTTTCTATACGTGTGACAATAAAACGAATATATATTTATATTTCTTAATAATTCGAATAGAAAAATGATTAAAGGTTGTGTTGGGTTTTTATATTACTTATCTCAATTAGTATTCGCTTGAAGATACTTTTTCTAATTATAATGAGAATTATTGGAGCATATAAATAAAAGGTTTAAGAAAAAGGTTCAAACGAAAATTGCGAAATGTGATTGGTAGAGAGAAAGGAAGGAAGGAAGGAAGGAAGCCCATGGAACGATAGGAAAGAGTCAATCATCTTGGATAAATTAACGGACGTAACGAATAAAAGTACAAGCTGTCGGATTGATCGTTTATATTCTATCTAGAAACGCGTTTCGATTTATTTATGTCGGCAAATTTCGTTACTATCTCGGTCCGGAGTTAATTGAGAATCAATCGAAACTAGGTTTTCGTCGAAGCAGTTACGTCGGCACCGATTTAAAGGGTTCCCCTACACCCTATCGAACCGGAAAATACTATACTCACTTCCTAAAACCTTGTACGAGATAGATATACACTTGATAATAAATTTCAACTTGCTTAGAATTTCAAATTGCAATTTGATCAAATGAAAAGTTTAACTAATTTTCGAAAAAAGTAAATGTAGTGTAAAACTTAGTTAATAGTGAAAGTAAGTGAGGGGTAGTTTGGTCAGATGCGAACACGTTTGGTGGTGGACAATCGTTTATCGAATTTCCAACTTATCACTCGCAGGTGGTCAAACGAAGGAAGAGGTCATCGAGACGAACGAACGACTGAGGATAGTCAGGATACGTCTCGAAGGAAGTTATGACACCGCTAAACGTGCACTCGTCGACCTTATGTGCAAGTATACGAACAGTAAACAAGTTCGTAACGTGTTCCAACGGTACAACCTCCTGAAAGTTATGATCAAGGTGAGGAAACTTCTATAGAAACCCCCTTCCTCCACCCTTTCGTAATTATACCTTTCGACATAGACGTCTCTTCTATTCCTTGTTGTGGATATTCTCCAATATTATTCTACTAAAAGTAACTTCATCTATCTTGATATAACTTCTAATATTATTTCTCTAGTTTTGAATTCGTAGTTTTGCAAAAATTTATTCAAATCAGTTGAGTTATTATTTATAAAATGAAATATTGTATAATACAATAATTTATCGTTCTTAATTCTTGAATCCACAATTACGTTGCAATTGTTCCGCTACCAAGATACAAGATTACTATTCCTAGAGGGTCCATGGTCTGACTATTAACAAAGGACGATCGCTTATCGGTATCCCTCGTTTTCCCTCTAAAGGGAAACACCTATATATACATACATATATAACTGTACTGATACATACAACGTGAACTATCCCAGCATGAAATTAAGTTCGCGCATGGAATTTCATGTTCTATCCCTTCTTTTCTCTACCCCCTTTTCCCTACCCATCTCACATACCTTTTTCAAAGATCTCTCTTATGAAACTACTATGTCATTTTATCGAGGTAATACGAGTTTCTTTAAAAGTTATCGACGTTATCGATACTATCGATTCTGTAATTTCGTGTTAGAAATATCAGCAGTGTAGGTAGCACCAGCTGTGTGCATTTTTGATAAAAACATTTTCGATATGTTATATTAAAATATAAATTTGATATTATTAACATATTTTGTTCTCTCTTCCATATTCCTCTTTTAATTAAATAAACAATCTAATATAATATAATAATACATGTTTCCTTTGATGACAATTTTAATGTGAAAAAGTATTTCGCTTTTTTTTTCCTTTCTTTCACCCTTATCTCGTCGAGAGATAGCAAAATTGCTTGTGATGTGGTTTTGACTCTTATATATGTATGTACATAAAGCACGTATACTTAGAAGTATATAAGTAGTAGATAGGTATATATACCTGGTTTACCCCCGTAGTTGCGGTTTTCGTCCCTTTTCTCAGGATGTGATCAAACTGGAGACGCAGTACTGGACGTTAGTGGATATACCAAGGCAAGAGAAACAAGAAACCGTTCTAGCTTTCGTCCTGCGTGCCTGTTCCATCATGGAAAAGACTCACAAGAGTGGAGAGGGCGTGAAAACCTCGGCACGATTGGCAGAGGAAGCTGAGACGAAAAGGGAACGAATTGAGAGACTCGAGGGTGAGTAAAAACGCCATTATCGGGAGAACGGAAAAAGAAATGAATTGGTGAGGTGGCAGGGGAACAGGTGGAGAAAGGGGAAACGTAGAAAATGAAAGAGAGAAAGAATGAGATGGAAGAAAAAAAAAGGGACAAAAAATGTCTACTATACTTTCACGATCTTTCCCCATTTTTTGTATTTCTTCGATTAATTAAAATTGGAGACAAGAAAAAATATATATGTGTCTGTATATATGAAAGGGTTGTGTTCAATAAGTGATAAATGTTTTTTGGGTATTTTCACGTGTATAAATTGAAATGTGCATATCACACAAGTTAGAAGTAAAACCTTCCAATAAACAAGTTTCGAGGATAATTTATTATATAATATTATTTGTACTTTTAATTTATAATTATTTATTTAATTATTATTTTAATTATAAAAATGCGCGCCTGTTCGTATGCAACTCTCCAAACACACTTTGAAAATGTTGCTTGCGGGTGCCATCTACTGGGGTGGAATTTTTTTGCAGTCAAAACTGTTGTTACACGCATGTATTACGGGTTGCCTATCTTTCGGGCAGAAAAAAAATTCCTAATAATTAATTTATTAGTTGATAAACATATTGTAACACTGAATGTTTCTATATAAAGATGATTGAAATATCCCGTGAACATATTTATGAATTATTATGATCATTTTAATAATAAATTAACTCGTTTGGTGAAATTGGATAAGGTATGTAATAGAAATAATATTCACTATTTCGTTTAATACGTCTTCGTGCAATTATCAATAATAAATTGATATAGTATCTAAATTGTTATTATCTCATTCTGTTGTAATTTCCCACGTATAATTAATCATCGATACGTTCATAAAATATACAAATGATCATTATGAAAGAAATAATAGAAAATTGAAATAACTCGTAATATATACGTATATTGCGTAAACAAATATAGAATGGGAGTTTCCTATCAATTAATTTATTCATTTTCCATTATGTCATTGATGCAGGCCTGACTACTGCAATAATCGAATCGGAGAATACCCATATGACCAATGATCTGTACAGACTGTTGAAAAAGTATACAGGATTAAGGAATCTTATTCGTGTTCTGAAGGTGAGAATAAAATCAATTTTTAATTGGACCAACCCAATGATTCATTTTGATTTATTTTGTGCATATTTAAACCTTCGAGTGGTGAATACTTTTAACTCAAATGTTTTGTAGAAATTTATAGGGGAATAATTTATTATTAATTAATTAATATTATTGTAATTATAAAAAATATATTAATTAAATTTAATAATTAAAGTTTTGGTTTTTGAATATAATTAGACATTAATATTACCAAACACGTATATGCGTTTATAGCACTGTAATGGTTAAAAATTTGAAATTTGTATCTATATAAATATATAAATTTTTGTTGTATAGGAGGAATACAACAATTCGAAGATATATCCGATGTTTCCACGTTATACGATTCTGAAAGATATGATAAAAGACATAATGCACAATCCAGACTACATGGAGGTTTGTCACGAGTTGGATCAAGCATAGCGGCCGGACCCCCTTCACCGTTCGCCACGGATGACCTTATAAATCAAAAGGTCATTTCGAGGCGCATCGGTGTAGGGGGTGCACAGACCATGGTATCACCTTAATTGATTATAATCTTCGCATTTTCATCCACTCTTATCATTAGAGAACATCTTTCTTTTTTCTTTCTTATCAATAGTTTATTTGTTTTCTCACTAAAAAAAAAAAAAGGAATGATACAATTAATTAGAAATAAGTAGTTAATGTTTTTCATGATTTTATTGAATGTTTTATTAAACGCATCAAAAGATGATCGAATGTGTGAGACAATTTTTCTAATTCAATGAAAATAATTCTAAACATATCGATTTCGTAATATAAACATTTCGAAAAAAAAAAAAAAATGAAAAACCAAAACGATTATCCTTAATGCGTTTATGATATTTTCATTTTTTCTCTTCTTTTTATTATCTATCATTTATCGAGTAGATGTCGAGATAATAATCTTTTAAAAAAAAAATGAAAACAATTTAAAGAACGTATTAACGTAGCAAGAAGAAGAAGAAGAAGAAGATGATGAAGAAGATGAAGAAGAAATAAACAAACGAACAAACAAAATGATAATTTAAATTAAAAGAAAAAAGGAACACCCCTTTTTTTTTTTTTTTTAAAGAAAAAAAAAAAATTCTGATATCGATATCGGAATAGCCGCTTGCACATTGGAACACAAAAATGTAAGAAGAAGAAAAATGACAAAAAACTCAAATCCGCGCTTTAGTTTCTTTAAATGTTCGATAGCGTGGCTTATTCATACGTGATTTTTATTAATCAAAGAATAAGAAACAAAAAAAGAAGAAGAAGAAGATCAAGATAATAAAAAGAGAGAGAGAGAGAGAGAGAGAGAGAATAACGTTGCTTATAAAATGGAAATAATTAGATAGGCAGGAACACATACACTAACACATCAAAAAAAAAAAGAGAACATTTGTCCTTCTCCTATTTATTATTCCAACCCCTTGAAATTCATGTCCACAATTTCCATAATACGCATTTATATGTATATAATAATAATAATAATAATAATAATAATAATAATAATAATAATAATAATAATAATAATAATAGTAATAATAATAGTAATAATAATAACAATAATAATAATAAGCGCGCATGTTCGTCCGTAAAAAGTGGACGCAACCGCGAAATTATGAAAGACATAAATGTGAAAACAGGACTTCTCTCCTTCTTTGCTTCCTTGCTCGAATTCTGTTCGAGTTTTTATATAAAAAAAAATAAATAAATAAATAAAAAAAAAGTAAATACAGAGACACAAGAAGAGGAAGAAGGAAATGAAAATGTGTTAGTCAATTCCGTGATGCATAAAGGAAGAAACTCAACCTACACAACAGGACAAAATATTAAGCTAATGATGAAAAAAAAAAAATAAAAATAAAAATAAAAATAAAAAAACAAATCCGTCATCCTTTTAAAAAAAGAAATGCATCCAAAATAAAAGTTAAAGCAATAGCCAGTGCATAGAATTTTTTGTATAGACATATCGGTGCTCTCTAAGTCAAACTAATAATAATAATAATAATAATAATTGTTATTATTATTATTATTATTATTATTAAGCAGTTCTTGCAAGATGATTAAAAAAAAAAAAAATACAATAGACATATATACACATACATATGGTACACATATAATACATACGAATTTATAATTGACGTAAAAAGAGTGTCTCTAAACGTTGCTTTGATTCTTATTTAAATATAATTAATATAATTAAATATAATAATTAATAATAAAACATATCTCCCGCGCGCGTAATCGTCGTTATAACATTGGCTAAATAAAAGAGGCACATATATATATATATATATGTATATGTATATATGTATATATATGTGTCTTACTGATAATATGGTGTTCGATAATGATTGTTGTAATAATTAATGATGTTTAGGTAGCTGCGTGACAGCCAATAAGGATGCCTGTTTTCTCCCATATAAATATATACAAAAATATAATATTAATATAAATGAAATAAATATATATATATATATATATATAAAGGAAACAAAATAATGGCTGACAGCCCGAAATCAAAATACAAAATGTAATTTAGCGTGTCGGATGATATTTTTGAAAATATTCGATAACACACGCTTTCTAGTCACCCTAAACAGTGTATCCCTGTCTCTCTTCGTCTCATTCTTATCATCAAGTTTCCCCCAAGTAACCCCATAAACTTAGAAACCCCTATAACTTGAATCCTACTCTAATCAAAAGGCACAACTCATCAAAATAGATAATCAAAGCTAATTAAACATCCCCCTTTCGAATTATTCTATTAAACGTTCACTGGATACAGTCACGCGCATCACATCAAATGAAATTTGTCGAAATTTGTTATTTAAGAAATTAGTTTTTTTAAATAATTGCTGGAAAAAGAATTAATAATTAAATCTATGAAAAATATTGAGAGTAACTTTTGATCCACTTATATTCGGGATTTAAAAAAAAAAAGCACAAAAAATAAAAACAAAGAAAAGATCAAATTATACAGACGAAAGTATTTTTTGAATATACTTTTTTTCTTAACTTAACGATAACAAAAAAAAAGATAAAAAAAAAGATGAGATGAGATAAAAAGAAAATACAATAATAATAAACGTCATAATTATCGATGGAAGTTAGGGGAGAATAAGAAAATTTTGTCAAAAAAAAAAAATATATGCTAAATGTAATTGTGAAATTAACAACTTTGAAATGATCTAATTTAACTTTATCATATCTCTGATAATCAATGAAAAAAAATCAAACTCGTTTAAGAACAAATAATTATTATAAATTATTCTATTTAAACGATCTGCATCCAGCTTAATCTTTCTCGATAAAACAAATATTATCTCCGCAGTGACTGTTTAGAATGTAATATTTAAAAAAAAAAAGCTTTTATTGTGAATAACTTCTACACAGGTATACATAAAAATATAATAAGAATTGTACATATATTATAAAAAAAACAAAAACGTGCCGAGTTTTAAATGCATAATGAATGAATATTTTTCAAGATGGGGTCTTTTATAATTTTTCTAATCGCACGTGCCTATCTTCTTTAATTTACAAGATAACAAAAATAATTCTTATTAAGAGATTTCTTTTTTATTTTTTTTTATTTATTACACTTTATCAACAAAGAATTTCAATTGCATTCATAAAAATTCACAATATGATAAGAAAATACGAAACGATGAATAATACACCTTTACTTTTTCGAGTCAAATTTAAATCGATTTTTCTTTGCGAAGAAGATGAAGGAATAATTAAATAAATAAATAAATAAAAAAAAATAAAGAGAAAAAAGAAAAGAAAATAATTACCAAAAAAAAATAAACACAGAATTAAATATTAAATAAGAAAAAAAAAATAAAGTCAGCACAGCACACATAACATTATTATAGTATTTGTATAACGATTAAATATAATATATAATATAATATAATTATTATCACACACACGAATAATATTTTGTATGCGAGTGGATTAAAAATAATGACGATTTCTTACGATTAGACCAATTAACGTATAAATATATAAAAAAAAAAAATATATATATATATACATACATAATTGTAAAGCATTAAAAGAAAGAAAGAAAGAAAAAGAAAAAAAGATAAAAAAATAATAAAAATAAAAATAAAATAAAATAAAATTAAAAGTATGTGTAGTGAATGAGTAAATCGAATACTCCAATGCAATGTCTCTGAATTGAAGAATCTAGCAAAAGCGTGCTCGCCTTTTTTTTTGACGAAACTAGGAGAGTGCCAAATAGAATTTTGAAAGTTTATACATGCGAAAAATATATTATTAGTGTTTTTTCCGTGCGCAAATAAATAAATAAATAAAAAAAATGAGAATGTTGTGTGCATACATAAATAATATATTAGATAGTAATAATAATATCCTATGGACGTTTACGTGAAATTTTTATAGAATGTGATGTAAGATTATAACACGTATATATATAATAAATTGATATATTATATTATAAACAAAACACAAAAAAATAACGCGATAAGATTTAACAAAATGAAATATCGTTTCTCGTTGGATTCATCTCTACGTTAAAAAAAGAAAAAAGAAAGAAAGATAATCTATAATAATCAAACTTGAAACTCACGTCGATTTGATATATAATAATATTATAATAATAATATTAATAATAATAAAATAATATCCGGAGGCCGTCAATATTTTTCCCCGTTAACGTCAATAATAATAATAATAATAATAATAATTAACAAATGAGCGAGTAAACGATGAACGAGATGATCATCTTACCGAGATTATCCATCGAGATCGAATTTAATGAACACTTAAAGTGTAATTATAATAAGCATATATGGAAGATTTAATTATGTCTGATATGAGAGATCTACCTAATGTGTTTTAAAGAGTTGTGTATATGGTAGACATAATTTATCGTGCTGATGTGTGGTGTCATATAATACGATCTATATACATATACATATATATATATATATATATATATATATATATATATATATATTAAATATTGAAAATTATCTCACATTAGATTCTATGACTTGGTCTCCTATTATCAAAAATAATCTGATCGTTAATCAAAAACTGTTGAATAAAATCAATAGGAATAAAATCATAAAATAAAATATAAAATATATTTGGACTAGGTCAAAGTATCTACGAACATTTTGTTCATCGTCATCGTGTAAATGTGCAAAAAGATCATCCTTGAATGATCCTTTTTATTCCCTTTACATAACACACCTTCCTTATCTTGAATAAGTGTGCTTCTTGATAGTACGACAGAATAAATTTCGACCAATCTACTTGTCTAATAATCATATCCCAAAATGTTGAATCTTTTCAAATATTATTAGTGCTTGTTCATTCATCTCTAACTGTTCTCAAATTTCTTGAGATATTTTACAATGTATTTTACAAAATACATCCTTCCTTCCATTTTCCTCTCCTCCTATTTTGTCAATTTGAACTTTTCAAATTAACCACCTACCCACCCACCCCTCTCTCTCTTACGATCATATATACACACACACACATACATACATACACACATACACACGTGTATCTCGGCTTTCTAAGGATATATATAATAATTCTCAGATATATGCATATCGATAAGTTATTATATATATATATATATAAATATATATAAATTTATCAATGTCAATTTTTATGAAGAAATATATTTTGACAAATTCTTCTTCAATGATCTTACGAAAAAAAATAAAATAAAATAAAATAAAAGGTAAAGAAAAAAAAAAGAAAATGAAAGATAAAAAGTAAAAAGTAAAAAGAGAAAAATAATAATAAATAGGAATTTGAAATGGGTATAATATATTCCCGTCCGCGATTGATTTCTATAAACAGCACTTTTAGTCAATCTCATTATTTTTGAATCATCAAGAATAAATCAAGCCAATAATCGCACGATTCAATTCATGTCTATATAAGGATATATTTTTAATGATATCTCTAAAGACATTTAACTCTACACGTGTTAGATAAAAGAGCGGTGATCCTTTTTACTTGCTTACACAGTGAGAAGTAATAATAATAATTCATTTAAAAGTTATTTTAAATGTAGCGTGTTAGATTAGCGTATAAAACATTCATTAGAAAAAGTATATTTTTCAATTATGTACGCTTTTTTTTTGTCTGTACGATTAATTAATTAATCCTTCGTAACACCATGTAATTTGTAAATCATACATTTCAATTTTATTCCACTTTATTATTCAACGTTGCTTCATATGTTCATTTTGTAGATAGGTAAAACAAATCTGGGATATGAAGGATTAAAAATTAATGAATATATTATTATTATTATTATTATTATTGTAATATGCGCATTTTAAAATACGTTTATTTAAAAGATAATTATTTGTTCTTTTTAATGAATAGATAATATTAATTATATCTTCGTGTCCCAGCATTATTACTTCTCTCACATGATAATACATTTTAAAACTTACGATATAATATTATCTAATTAGATTAGAAACGTTGAGATTTCTATCGTTGGTTCGCTAGCTTTGTGTACTTTATGGTAAAAAAAAAAATGTGAGACAAATGTACAGAGGCGTAAAAAGTTCTATTTTCTTTTCCCCATGCTATTCTAGTAGTTTTTTTTTTTTTATCTATAGAAAATCTATACCGTATATTTAATTTAGAATATTGAAGATGTTTTTCTTATAAAACACACGTAACACATTCCTTCCTACAATTTTGATTAAATTAGAAAATAAATCAATGTATTGTTTCATATATTATTTTATATTAATACTCATATTATAAAAATATGTTTATACGCCTCTGGATTTTCTATTTTAATCGTTAATATCTTTAATCGCTAGTTCTCTTATAGAAATATAAACTATTAACAGAAAAAAAAAATACACCGTTGTGTGAGAAAACTACTGTATGTTCATAATATGTCGCAAGTATCATTTAGTTGGAGATTAAAACAAAGCAACAAAATCGTATTATCTACAATTACATTTATTCACTAATTTGAAATAAGGGAATAATGCATCGGACCATTGAAATTAGAAATGATTTTATACTGTCAATTTCTATACGTCATTTTGTTATCTCTAACAAATTGATTCTTGCGACTAATATTATATTATAATTAATACGTTTTATGTCTAATAAGAGATTGGATAGTAACGATTAGCTTACTCTTTTAGATTTACAAAGCTAGAGATTAGAAAAAGATATATAGTATGGTCGTATAGTATGTCGTATATTAGTATTTACACATCCTACTATCTACCTAACTACTACACCCATTTACTTAATCTAAGTTTTCTCTCTCATCAAAGTTTAGCGAATACATATAAGTAGATGAATGCGTGTTAGTATCTAGTATTTCTCGAACGTATTAGATATTAATTGTTAGTCAAATCAGTTTTGACAGAAGTGTATGCTGCAATAACATAATATGTGAATGTTGCCATTTTCATTTCGTTTGATATGTCTTTATTACCGTGCGAACAAGCATTACTTGTTTATTGGCTGTTATTAAGCTTTGTTAATAAAATAATAACAAATTTTATGTCGCCAGCCAATATATACACGCATATCCCAATCCTAATTATTATTTAAATCAAAATATATATATATATATATATATATTTATAAATAATGAGTTTTAGAAAAGAATATTTGAAGATATCGATAAATTACAAAATATCAATAAGATCTATAAAAAAAGAACATAAATTATTACATTTTTATTCCTTTTAAATAATAGAATATTTTTTGTTTAAGAATTTTTAAAAGAAATCATAAATAATTGATATTTCAATATTTCGATTTTAAATTTTCCCGCCATTGAAAACACCTATCGTCTCCATTTCGACGTTTCTTGTGTCAAGATTGGTTAGAATCGGTGGTGATAAGGGAACACGGCGAATAGGAACAAATCAAGATGGCCGCAACTAACTCGAGTTTACCTAGTGAAATTCCAACGAAGAAGGAAGATGAATTCAACGAGTTTTATACAGAGGTATGTAATGCAACATAATTAATAATAATAATTAATTATTTATATTTCTTTTAACTATACGATCGATCTTTTTCTATTATTACATAACGACGAAAATAAATACATTTTTAGTCCAAATTCCTTCAAACGTCACTTTGTAAATATCATTTTATAACATTAAAACAATTTATTATTAACTATTTAAACTTTTTAAAAGTAATTATATGCAATAATACATATTGTTATAAAATGTCTTGTAAGTTTGTCCACCTTTTTTTATAATTATTAATACGGTACTATATTCTAACCTATATACTTATGCATGCATATATAGATTTGCATTGATCATAGTTTTTACATGATTCTTATTAATTTATATCTTTATTTAGGTTAAAGAAATCGAAAAAAGGGATTCCGTGTTGACACCCAAACAACAAATTGACAGATTATTGCGGCCAGGTTCATCTTACTTTAATTTGAATCCATTTGAAGTTTTACAAATAGATCCAAGTACTTCTATAGATGAAATCAAAAAGAAATATCGACGTGTGAGTAGAATTTTATTCTTCTGAATGTTAACATTCAATAAAATAAAGATTTTTATATATAGATGTCCATTCTGGTACATCCTGACAAGAATCAAGATGATGCAGAGAGAGCGCAGCAAGCTTTTGAAAGTAAATCAGATGTTATTTATATTCTATTGATTTATTATTCATCTTATTTATCATTTATTAATCATAAATTTGTCTAAATTGTACAGTTGTTAATAAAGCATGGAAGACATTGGAAAATGAAGAGACGAGAGCAAAATGTATGGATGTTATCGAAGAAGCAAAAGCTCGTACTGATCACATGGTAAATATTTACAATGTTTTCAACATAATAATATGCAGACATCTTTTTAGTAGTAAGTTTAATTATAGATCGCTGAGAAAAAGAAGAAATTAAAAAAGGAAGGCAAGACTGATAATTTGGCAGCTAACATGTTGGAAGAAGAAACCGAAGAAGGTTATCGACATGCTGTATGGGTCATGACGATGAAATTGTTTGCTGATATGGAACGACGAAGGTAAGATTCTTCTTATAATTTATTATGCACTGTGTCAATCATAATATATAACACTAATGTTTCATGCACATCGGTGTCAAGTTATATGCAGTATGTGATAAGCAGTGTGATAAGATTTATTATAATTTCAAGACCATTACCTAACTTGCTTTTCTTTTGTGGATATAGAAGAGAACTAGCAACGAGAGATGCTGAACAACGAAAAAGAAAACGTGAAGAGGAATTATCTGCAGAAGCTCAGGCAGCTTTAGAACGTGAGTGGCAAAAAAACTTTGAAGAATCTAGACAATCACGAGTCGATAGCTGGAAAGCATTTCAATCTGGTTCTAATGCAACTAAACAAAAGAAGGCCAAAAAATTGAAAGCCTTTAGGCCTCCAAAAACGAAGGCCGAATCTCGATAATTAAAAATGAACGTGTATCGCCTCTTCTTCTCATGGGGGACTCTTTACAATTAGTATTGGTTCCAATCTCATTCGCTCCAATGTTATATTTCATAGAAATTTTCAGCAGAACAATTTTTAGATCATATTAATTCTCTATACATACACATTGTATGACATCGTATGCGCGTATCAATTTAACAAATGTCCATAATAATTAATAATAATCATCGATTTTTCTCACTTTCAATCCACATACTTGTTTAGAAAAGAAAAAAAAAAACGAAAAAAGAAAGAAAGAAAGAAAGTAAGCTATGTATATTAATTCTTTTATTGAGAATCAAAGTATAAATGAAGTAACATTAAAAAAGAAAAGAAAAGAAAGAAAGGAAGGAAGGAAGGAAGGCAGGAAGGAAGGAAGGCAGGAAGAGAGAAAAAAATATTGAAAGTGTTGGAAGAAATGTGCGTGCAAGGGAGTGATATCAATATGGAAAGATAGAGAATAAAATAAAAAAGAAAAAAAAAAGTAATACGTGAATACGAATTGCGCGAACATCTTTATTGTATACTATGTATGTATCATGAATGAATGATTATGCGTGCTTGTATGTGTATGTTATGAATGGATTTACGTAAATGTATAAGTGAGAAAATTGCAATGCTGTTTACCTGGCCCGTGTAAGTTGCATCTCGATCTTCCATATGGTGATGAAAACTTATTGAATTAAAAAATTCATACAATTAAAAATTCAATGATTCATCTTATTATGGTGTATTGAAATTGAGTAAGAATATTAGAATAATATCCAACGTATAGTAATTCAGCTTTTTAAAAAACACCAAATTACTTTTCGTGGGATTTGGGATACATTCCAATGTTTTTGGAAATTGCAACAGAATGCAGAAGACTTTGAATTTTCTATACTGCCTAAGGTTTAAAAAAAAAAAAAAACAAGATTATACACACAAGCAACATATATACATATATATTTTAGCCCAAATTTTGATAATATCCGAAAGTGCCATACATTTAAATATCGTATGTTACACATTTTAAAACATAATCTATTTAAATGCTATATGTGTATCGCGTTAAAATAATAATAATTATTATTATTATTATTACAAATATAATATTTGTTATTTTAATGATTTAGAAATGAGGCTAAATGTATATGTAAAATATGTTGTTTGTTTAAAATGATTCTTTAAAACAACGGACTATAGTACAAAGGACCGTATCGCACCATGAACTTCGCGGGCCATGTAAATCGTGACATCTAGTTTACCGATGCATCATTTGGCGCATAATGCATATATTTTTACGTGCACTTGGTCCAAACATAATTCATAAGATTATTATAAATATGATGAATTTATAAAAAAGAAAAGAAGAAAAAAAAAGAAAGAAAGAATTTTATTATTGTATTTTCTTGTTTTAAACGTATTTACCTTTAATAATTAACGAGATAGTAAAGAAAGATTTTATCTCAAGCGATATAACGAAAAAAAAAGAAAAAGAATAGAAAGCAAATGTATCTCCTACTATGCGTTGATTCTTTTTAAATTAATGCGATTACAAATTGAATCAAGAAAAATCAATGTATTATAAGAAAGAAAAAAGAAAAAAAAAGTGATTTGAAAACAAAGAAAATAACTTGAGAATAATTTGAAAATAATTTTGTTTTCTAAACGCACATTATTAATCAAAGCAAAAAGAATATTTTGTATGTGCCAGAAAAGAAAAGGAAAAAAAAAACATTTCTTTTTAATAATCGTTACCTCTAATTGTGAAAATATTTCTTCGCTAATCTACAATTCTCTTTGACGTACTCATTTATTGCACAAATAAATTTTCGATCGAAATTAATGTGAATTAATATATTTGACTATATATAGATATATATTTATAAAACTTTTCGATATTAATTTTACAACGTGTGACGAATAATTATATTAATTTGTTTTCTTTTTAATAATTTTATAATTAATCGTTTAAAATGTATTTACATTATATTATTTTTCTTGTATAACTTGCATAAATGTTATCGTCATAACTTTGTTAAACGTTCATCGAACTTTTATTCTTCTATCTTTTCTTTCTATTGCAATCGATCGAATGAATTAACATTCGTTATTAGATCTCTCGTATTATAGTTATTGTTATTTGAATACATATATTCGAAGAATAGGACTACATTTTGAATGATAGAAAGAAAAAAGAAAAGAAGAGAAAAAAAAAGAAAGAAATAACTGGCACGTCTCATACGAGGAAGCATTATTATATATTATTTACTGTATCCGGAGGCTCTTATGTGCAGCACGGTCTAGTTAAATGCATTTCACGTGAGTACACATTACCATCCGGAGTTGGCACGTGACCCGAGTACGAAATGAAAAAACCAACGGCGATCTACGCACCCACCTGCGTTTCTACTTTTATTTTTTATTTTTTTATTTTGTATTTTTCAATCAACTCAACTCTCTCCCTTATATATTTTTGATTACATATACATACGTATCAAATTATAATTCAATCGAGAGATCATACTTTATATCTTTATATCTTTTAATTAATATTTGAGACAAAAACAATCTTCAATGAATGAAAAGAAATTCAAAAAATAAACCCAATAATTAATTTTTCATAAGAAGAATATGTCTTTACAAATGATGATTATAATATTTCTAAAAAAACAAAAGATCATTTAAATTGCAATGAAAAATAGCGGGCGAAATTTGGCGGGTTGATCAAAGAACAAAGTTCGGCAGGTGTTCGTGCATCCTCGGTAAGCCTTGTGACTGCCTGCAACGGTGATTGGCTAAGATCGTGAAAAGGATTAATAGAAGGGGAAACGAGTTGTAGAAGCTCTTTTCACGCGCAACAGGTATCAGTATTTTACCGTCCTTTCAAATTTTCGTTTTAAGGTGGTAACGTCATGTTTGATATTTTTATTCATTTGACAAGTAAATATTATTGAAAGGATAACAAATCAGTGTGGTATCCTGCAGAGAAGGGAACAATGTTAAAATGTATTACATAGTATCTTATTCACGAGAACAATTCTTTGAGTTTTACCTGAGAAGTGATAGAAAGAGAAAACTAGATAAAGAAAAAGAGAGAGAGAGAGAGAGAGAGAATGTTTGACACCGGCTTGTGTACCTTGTCGTATTCATCTTGTCTAAACACAGTTATCTTTCTATTTAAAAATATCTTTTTATATTTTGTGTGTTACACATATTTCATTTAGATTGTATGCATCTTTGTTATGCTATTAAAAAGAATATTTATCAATGAAAATTTCGAATGATACAACGATACAACAATTTGATTAATTGGAGAAATTGTATTTATACGGTGTATACTACCAACAGTTCTTAGTTTTAACTGAATTTAAAAGTACATATATGTATTAGTATGATATAAGAAGTATATGTATACGTGTAGTCAAAGAAACGCGTGCGTCAGCAGGTCATGTGTATGTGTGCGATTCAGGTATCCATTCCTCTCTCTTTCTTTCTTTCTTTCTTTCTTTCATTTATATTTTCCATCTTTATCCTGTAGTATATACAGTAGTGATGACGTCGCGCACACACACATGAGCTTCTTCTCGTGCGTGCTTGCGTGAATGTACGTGCGTCTCGTCGCAGGAACGTCCAGGTAGAAAAAAGAAGAAGAGAGGTAAAAGAAAACGAAGAAGAATAAGAATAATAATAATAAGAAGAAGAGAATAAGGGAATGGAGGAGGTGCGGCACGACAATCTGAAACGAAGAGAAGCGAATCCAGTGAGTCGTTCGCCGCGTGTTGTGCTGCGTGTCGTGCATGATCTTTCCTCTCGTGTCTTCCATTTTGGAGAACACCAACGCGTTTCAACTACTAAATTTATATATATATATATATATGTATATACTTTTGGCGGGATATTTTTAAACCATTTTTTCTTCATTTTTTGTCAACTAAATATTATTATTCAAAAATGGATGCAATGATAAACCCAGTTGTTGTTTAATACAATGACAAGTTTTTCTTGGGTATTTTTTTTTTTCTTGTAATTTTTAATTTAAACAAAGAGTGTTAAGGATAGATATAAAGAAAGAGATTCATTGTAGTGTTCGTCTTCGTTTGTAAAAGTTTTGTATCGTTTAGCCTTGACGGGCGCCAGCCGGTCGCGTGTAAACTCTCACGCGCACGTGCACGCACTAATACCCTTCGAACGTAACTGAACATCCAGTTCAGGGATCAGATTACTTCTCTCTCTCTCTCTCTCTCTCTCTCTTTATTTAGGTTTTTTGTTCCTAAATTTGTTAACATTTGTTAAGATTTTGAGTGATAAAAAGAACAACACCCAAATAGTATTGGATGTATGAGTAAAAAAATCAAATGTTTTGAGAAATGTTATGTGAGACTTTTTAATAGAAGAGGAGTACGTAAACACCATGTCGAATACCGACGTGGTACGAATTTCTCCTCAGCAACAACAACAACAACAACAACAACAGCAACAACAGGGATCATCACTTGATGAGGAACAAGGGTAAATGAATTTGAAATTATTTTGGAAATTTATTTGTAGAAGATAGTTGTAAATTTGTTGAATTTCTTTGAAGACAATTCTATGTTGTTTTTTATTCTGTACCTATGATAGGAGATGCATTTAAAGGACATCATTTTAATTAAATTTCAATTGCATACATTCATATATACATTGAAAAAAAAAAGTAGTATTAATAATGCATAATATAATTCATGTGTTATCACGTTATCTATATATAACATATTATAAATGACCGGACGTACAGAATATATCATGTATTACGTATTACGTGAGACACCATTGAAGGCACATACCATATTCTTTCTCTATCTTTTTTTTTTTTTTTATTCTTCTTTTTCTCTCCTTCACGTTTTCTTCCTGTACCTGTATAATATAAAGGAGAACCGATAAAATAGCAATTACTAAATTTATTATTATCAATTATAAGGAAGTATAATATAATAATGCTTTACATAGAATGAATATTGATTGAATAATGTCATTTTAATTTGTATACGTGAAATTCTTTGATAAATACGGATATATCATTCAATATGGCCGTCGTTTGGCGATATTTCGAACTTTCATATCGTTAAGGTAACAGTCCGAACGGTTTATCAGTGTTATTTGCGTTATACTTTCTATGTCGCTCGAGGCGATAAACGTTTCGACGTGTGCGAACCTCGTTGTTGTTACCTTTCGCAAAAGATAGAAAGAAAGAGAAATAAATCGAGAGAAAATAAGGAAAGAATAAAAGAAATAAATAAAGATAGAGAAGGAAGGAAAGAAAGAAAGAGAGAAAACTTTGAACACACCGTAGTAAGACTACTCTACTCGTCGTTGGAATAAGACGTCCATGCAAAACCTGTTTTCACCTTTTATCCGGAATGGTTTCGACCGTCTGGTACTCCTTACATGTGTGTGTATATATATGTGTGTTTATACCTGTACTTGTGCCATCTTTCGTGAGATGCGTAACCCACGTGAAAACGTGGCAACCAATTTAATTTTAAATCTTTCATAGGTATTTATATTTCATATAAACATTTTATTTTTAATATGAAATCTCTTTATCAGGTACTCTTTTTAATGAATTAATATTTATTACAAATCAATAGAATACAAACTTATTATAATTCACGTATAGATTCTTTCTCGAATGTTATTCATCATAGAGTGTAGTTTTTTATCGTTTAAAATTAGTTGAACGATTAGAACCGATTTTGTCGTTAAGTCTAATGGACTCTCGGTCTAACGATCCATTTAATTAGCTTTTCATAGAACTCATTTCATACATATATACACACACACACATAAATAGTATAGTAAATCGTCTCTCGTAAATCGAATAGTTTGACTTCTCTTTCTAACGATTCTAATGAGAAAGAAATGGCCTAAACGGAAATCGATGATTAGACATTTTACTAGAGAGTCACGAAGATCACACGGTTTTCATTTGACTTTTTTTTTTTTTTTTTACCCCCCTTACATGTGAGACTATGATAGATGGTTATAATTAAACGAAATCTTTGCGTGTTGTCTAGAAGATGATCTTACACCATGTAATTTACTAATATTACGGACATTACGAAATCTTTTTTTTTTTAAGTATACATGTGTGTATCTATGTATAGGTGGATGTACTAGGTTTATAAACTTTAAAAAAAAAGCCAAATCTTTCAACATAATTTTCTACATTATGTGAACAAATGTTTTCCTACAGGAATTTTATATTTTAATGATACACACACACTTGCTTGTATATTATGGGAATTTATAGAAATTATTTGTCGTCGACAAATGATGAGAATAAAATAAAAAAGATAACATGATATGATATGACATGAGATGAAAGAAGATGCAGTTGTATGTGTGAGAGAGAGAGAGAGAGAGACAGGTATAGGTCTGTATACCTGTATATACATATATATGAAGGTGTTGCAGAGATATTAGTCACGTTTGTTGAGGATGTATTTGCTCTCTATGAGAGTTTCTCTCTCTTTTTCTCTCCTTCAATGTCAATGACTGCTCCCTCGAGGCTAGGTATGACCCCCCGTGCGAACGAAAGTCTCGTCTTTCTGTGTGTCTCGCTCTCGTATGGTCGCGGCCGCGCGAGAATGGCGCTTTCACACGAAGGTACAAAGAACCCAAGGTGGTTGCTATCTATCCACGAACTTTATCCATTTGAATTTTCTTTTAATAGTCACAATTCTTTTTATTCCTTTTTTTTTTCATTTAAAAAAAAAAAAACAAAAAAATACCACAAGAGAGACGAGTTGTTCTCGTCTGAAGAAATGTTCCGTTATTGCCACCTGACCGGTTAGAAAGCTCGTACGTGAATTTACAAAAAATCTTCTATCTGGTTTTTTTTATTTTTTTTTTTATTTATTTCATTTTTCACTTGAAACAAAAATTCAAATTATCTTACTAATGATCCCATTAATAAGATCATAGTTTAACGTGTTTATCTTGGAAACAAACTCACGGTCCTTCTCCAATCGGCGTGTTACGAAGCTATCAGCTGATTGGTTGTAACACGAGCAGAGTAGTCTATCCGAGTTGTTACCTAAGCTAGCTAGTTCGCCTACCACCTTCCTTTCACTGAAAAACCTCGCCCGTTTAGAGAGTGAAATAATGAGAGATAAGGACAAGAATAATAAAAAGAACAACAACAAAAAAACATGCTTATATTTATTTTATTTATTTAACGAAACGATAATAAACGGAAATGCTGAATTATATTGCACAAAAGTACGGTAACACTTGTTAGAAACGTATTTAATTATAAATTGCATTATTTCTATTTTTGAACAAACAAAATTCACCATAATTTCGGTCAAATGAATTATTTTGTAAAAATAAATCAACAGGTTGTTGAACTGTTTTTTTTTTTTTTTAACAAATCCAAAGAGTTCGGATCTGTCAAATCTTAAAAAAAAAAAGAAAAAAACAAACGAAATTGCAAACGTGTTTTCTCGTTCGTGAAGGAGTTGTGAACGGCGGCCCCATGAAATAGTAGGCCCAAAGCGGTACTTAGCCAAACGGACCTTAAACCTTAAGGTTGAATAACGGTTTATTCAGTGTTCGTGCATACCTACGACGTGTCTAACTACGGGAATTGCCGTTGCGATTTCTACGGTACGCAGCAATAGGTATTCTATCTAAATACACCATAAGATACACACCATACGTCTTCAACGATGCAACGACAAATTATTAAACTCGTTCTATCTCTCTTCCTTATTTAGATTTTATTTTATGAACCTAATCATACGCAGACACGTGCACTCGTGTATAAATTAAATGGACTAATTGTTCATTTGAAATATTTTGAATTATTTTGTAAAATATCTTAAAAATAATTTGACAAAACCGTAAGAGAGACTTGTTAGAAAACCTTATTTGGTGGATACTTATATATTTATTTATTTATAAGGTTATACAAGATATTAAAAATATGTTCTTAGATATTTTTAGTAAGAAAACGTATAAGGAAACCCTAAAGGTATTTTCCATTTAATTCTATGACTCTGTGCTGACTCACACTCTCAGCAATAATCGAACTTCAACTTGGTCAAAGAAAAAATGAACTCATTCGTAGTTTATTTTTTTTATACAAGTATTATCAATTATTTGTATTTATTTAAAGGACAAATAAAAGTTCTCCAATGTGCATTAAGTTACGCCCCCGCCATAGCGAACTTAACCGATCAAATACGAAAATAACCGAGAAGACCGGCCAACCGATCGCGAGAAGTTTCTCGAGGAACGGAAAGATCACTGTACACTTATATACATATATATATATACATAAATTTATGCGTATTTGTTGTAATACAAATATACATACATATACTATATACTATATATAGTGATTGCACGTAGAACTGAATAAACGATAGGAGAACACACACAACGTTGTACTCTTATGTTTATATATGACGATTGTATGTGTGAGCGTGGGTTCTTCTTGGTGCATCGAAGCAGCTCATTGGTTGATACCACCGGTCGGTCGCGTCTCAACTGTGCGACTACAGCAACGGCCAACACCTAAAGTGGTTTGTGTGTATGTTGGTTGTGTGCATGTTGTGTGTGTATTATATACCTGTATTTTCTTTCTCTTGTCAATGTGTACCGTTTTGTGTTGCACTGTCACCAGTGTATACCGATCGTCTTTCGCCGGCCGGACGTATATCTTGGCTACTAGCATTTGTTTCTTCGAACACAGTTCAATGACGGAGGAAGTACTCAAACACTGCAACCAGCCCCAGTTGTCTTCAACCTTTATCTGAATCTTATATCTTATTATTATCATCATCATCATTTTATTCCGTTTTATCTTTGAAATCCTTTGAATTCAGTTCTCCAAAATTTCCCCCACCACTATCATCAGAGATCTATAGATCAATTATGGTTTAACTTGGATACTTTGGAAGAGTTTTTTAAATCTTGGTGAGAATCGAAATGTTTGTTTATTTGTTTGTTTTTATCTAGGGTTAAGATGATGGATTCTATTAAATGCAAATATAATTTAGCATCATCGTAATCGTCATCATTATAATAATAATTATTGTGATACAGTCTCTCATGTCAGTTGGCATTAGATAGACGTTGAGATGTAGCAACCTCAAGTTGCTTCTTTTTATAACAAAAGAAACTAGGTGTACGTGTGTGTACGCCTATGATGACTCACTATCATCGTTTCGAATGACACTGATGCGAATGAAAATCGAACCATCTCTTTCTATCATACTGTAACACATATTATAATAAAACGGATGTGTAGATAATTTATCATCGATCGTATGATGTTACGATTCAATAGTATACACATGTTAAAAGAATTGCATATAAATAGGTGTGTTGTGTGTGTATGGTTCATTCTCGAGATTGAAAGTAAAATAAAAGAAATCGTGTGTGTACCTATAGATTAGTTTGTCAAGCGTGCCAAAAATAAGGTGTGTACCTTTTGTTAGATCGTTCGAATTGTCATTGAGAAAAATATCTTTGATTGGTGATCTTGAAAAGAAAATATTTGAAACCTTTGAAAGTCTATTAAATTAAGAACAATCAAATTTGCAATATTTTTACAATATTATAATATAATATAATAGTGGGTGGGTTGAAAAAATATGAAGTTTAAAATAGGAATAATTTGTTTCTAATTAAATTCATTGATATTTTTCGAATATACTTTCACTTTCTTCTTCAAACTTTTCAACCCACTCTCGCAAATGCTATCAATATAATATTATTATACCTATTTTGTTCATAAATTAAAAATCAAATATTGTAGAAGAAGATTCTTTCGAAATAGTGATTTTCGATGAAACAGCAACAAAAAAAAAAAAAAGAAAAAAAGAAGAAAAAAACCAAATAGAAATGGTAAATCTCGAAACACGTTCGATGAGCTATCACGATCGAATCAATCTCTCACGACGTATAATTAATTTCGTACGAGTTTATGATTAATGATCGCGATTATGGTGAACGGTAGACTTTGCTTAGAGTAACACTCAGCAAGAATTGTTAATAATTTCGTAGTAAAAAGAAACAGCTAATATTAATTAACATTTACGTTTCTTACAATTCTTTGAATTTCTTTTTAAGTTTGTTTACATCGAATTATTCGTAAAATGATCTTAGAATGTGATATGATTATTTATTTATTTTATTTTCACATACTTATGGATCTTGTGTTTTTTCTAATGAAGAATTGGTGTTGTTTTGCAGAAGACTGAAAAACGATTTGCAATATACTCGAAAAAAGGGAGGACTTTTGAAGGCACCAGTCGAATCGTCGCCCTACCAAGGACGTGAATGTGAGAGATGTTTAGCACCGTTCGGTAGATTTTACAACACAGGGGCTACGTGTACTCGTTGCAGGTATAGGGTTTGCAAACGGTGCCGTATCGAGGTCAAAAGTACCAACAAACAAAACGACCATTCTAAAGACGTCGAATGGGTTTGCACCCTTTGCTATGATATCGCGTCAGTATATTTCTCATGTTCTTTTTTTATTGTCGTTTATTTGATTTTTTAATTAATAAATGATAATAATTATTACATTTGTAGAGAATTGCACATTATCACTGGAGGCAAATGGGTGAACGAGGATAATTTATCTTGTCGAAGAAAAATATTCATCGATGATATCAAATCATCACCATTCGATATATTGAAACAATATAATATTCGACGTGCCTGGACGATCAACGGTATGTGTTTAATCTTTTCAACTGAAATCAAGTTTAAGTTAACAAGTTTATTAACAATACTTTGATGTGTTATTGTAGGACCACCTACACATTGGTCAGCTGCAAGGAAGTCACCTGAATTACGATTATATCGAAGTTTACCAATTAAACGACAGAAATATCGTGAATCTGTCGAAAAAAGGTGTACCGTAAGAAAGGATAATTCATCTTTGTCAAGATCGGAGGAAGAAAATCGAACGAGTTTACCTCAAACTATCATTGATATTATAAACGACGAATCATCTTTCTTCGAGAAAATTATCTCACGATCTGTTGATATTGCATCTAACGATCGAACGAAAAAAAACGATAAAATACGTGGAGAGGTCAGATTGAACGAGGACATTTCTTCTGTTGCTGCATCAAGTGACAAAAATTCTTTCAAAAAAAACGACAAAAATCTGACGAATAATAATAAAACGAAAGAGGGGGTACAGGAAGAAACGATAGGTGGGAATACTAATCAAGAACAATCAGTTGGTACACCTAGAATTTCTTTACTCAAACCACCAAGAATTCTTTCCAAATTAATCTCGCCGGATGTTAAATCGTCACAGAGCAAATATGGCGAAAGAAAATCGAATATTCCAATATTTAAAAGGAGTTCCAAGGAATTCGAGGATATCAGGAGTCCTCAGGAATCACCGAGACGATCTCTTATACCACAAAGGTATTTATTTATATTACACCACACATGTGTGTTCTTTTGACTTGATTGATAACTTGATTGACTCGCTATTTATTATTTAAAGATTATCTAAGTCTGTAGGTTCTTTAAACATTTCATAGATAGAGTTGTATTACAATAGAATTATTTCAATGTATTTACACCTTTTTTCTCGTTCTAAATGCAATGTGAATACGTTTCAGATATAGAGGAAGCACCGATGACCTTAGACGCAGTCGAGAGGACATAAGCGTGCCAAGTTTGATACCGAAACTCCTGTCACCTAGAAATAAAGAAGATATTAATAGATTGATAAAACGTCAGGATAGCAAGGACGACGTTAGGATTAACGTACAGAACAACAACAATAACAAACGTATCGAAGCATCATCGATGCTTTTGCGAAAAGATTTGAAAGACGATACGAAAGGTGGTGGTGGTGGTGGTGGTGGTGGTGGTGGTGGTAGTGGTGGTGTTGGTACTTCGAACCTAAACGTAAATAATAATAATCATCATCATAGTAATTCAAAAGAGGAAAGTAAAATACGAATATTCCGACGAGATAATAGCAAAGAGGACGACGTGGGTAGGGAGAGTACAAATTCAAATGCGAGCGTTGCTACAAAAGGAAAGCAAACTGGAAAGGAGGAGGAGGAGGAAGAGGAGGAGGAAGAGGTGGAGGAACGTGTGGGCGATATTACAATGTCCAAATCGAAATTATTTACCTTTGCATGTGAACAAAGCAAGAAGAAAAGGGAAAGTTTCGAGGACGACGTAGGAACACAGTTGCAAACTAAACGACAAGTTGTTTTAATTGAACAGAAACGTTTAGAACAAGTTGACACGATGTTAGGTGGTGGTGGTGGTGTTGTTGATAAAAGTGAAAAAGATGAGGATGAACAAATTAAAAGGACAATGGATAATGAATTTAGAGATGTTTCAATAGAGGATGATAAAATTATCGAAGATATTCCTTCCAATGATTTTGATATCAGTGAGGTGTGTGGTACGAATGATCGAAGATCCTTAACTGATATTGGTCATGCCAAGAAATTGGACGAATTTCAAGTGGTAAGTAACAAAACATCTGTAAATCTACGTGTTAATATTTTATCGACGATTAATAATCAAATATTAATATAAATATAAATGAATTAAATAGGTACGTAGAAAATTTTCTAAAGAAGAATTTTCTAATCCAGACGATACGGATGAAACACCAAACAAACGTTGCTCCAGCGTGAGTATCAATTTTTTCTAGACACCTATTGAATGAAATATAAAATATGAAAAAAAAAAAAGTAACTTGACAGTAAATGAGAATGTTCTATTCGACAGCATTTATCACCAGAAGCAAGTCCTTTGAGTACAAGATCCTCGAGATATAGTCCTAGAGAGAGTGAAAGTGAACCGACACCTGCACTTCCACGAAAAATAGGTGGAGATTCTTGTTCAGCTTCTCAAAGAATACGAGATGCGATAAGTAGAAGCAGAAGAGAATCAAATAGTAGTGCAAGATATGAGAGTAGTGGCAGCGAGAGTGTAAGGTAAGCTTTAGAATGAACCCTTGACACTTTAGTGGTCGCCAATCGTTTGTTTGATGAATTATATTATAATAAATCTCATGAATAATTTGAATTTTAGACTGAGCGAGACGGGATTGCATGATGGGGTTGATCTGGCAAGAAAGTTGAAATTTTTTGGCGGTAATGGTAATAGTACGATACCATTGATCATCGGTAACGACCAAGTGATACAACGAGATAGTGCAACGAGTGCAGGGGAAGATGAATCACACGAGGGTGGTCACAGCAATAGAATTGGTCAAGTATCATCTCAGGGAAGATCTATGCTACGCCGACGTAGACAATTTGATGCTCAGGGTGAGTCGTCAGTCATTTAAATGCGTTTTTCAAAAGGAGAACAACCCCATGCATTGATCAACATTTATCTTCTTCTTCTTCATTTGATAAAACATAATCTATTTGTTACTATAAAATATTCACTTTAGAAATAAGATAAACTCGAAAAATGTTATTAAATAGATTAGACAAATTGTAGAACGGTAAACTAATAGACTTACAATTAGATAAACGTAAAATGTAATTATATTAAAAGTTAGAGTCTGTTAACATTTCGCTTTCGTGACCGCCCACCCCGCGTTGATCATTAAAAAGGTATATACACAAAGTATACGAATACCTAAGTCATATAGAGATATACATAGAATCAATGTACATATATATACTTAAAACACTTGCGTGCAAAACTCTCGATCGCGTGATCTCTCGCATAAAACATAAATGAAATCTTTATTCCTCGCGTTACATTGTTTTTAATTTTTTCTTTCTTTTTTTTTTTTCTTTATTATTCGGCAAATTAAAAGAAATAAGAGAAATGTAAAAATGTGTTAACCAGTTAGAGATTGTTTTTTATTTTTTTTTTTATAGAAATTTGTCATTGATTCTAAGTTGAAAAAGTAATTGCATTAAAAAGTGTATCGTTATTTATAAACACTGAAGTATTGTTTTTGTATTTAAGTATCATAGGCGTTATATATTTAGTGACAGAAGAGGGCCATATGGGAGTCAGTTAACGATATAAGCTTTCATCGATTATCGAAGCCATTGGGTTGTTCTCCGATGGCAGAAGCAACGACAGCATTCTCTGGAGTATTCGATTCGTTAGCAGTGTGTGCAAACTCATCGTTCTCGGAAAATTTCTCATACTCGTTTAAAGTCATTTATGCAACGTTTCAATATTTATCATAAATTCGTTTAATGATTAACGATTAAGTTATATACATATATATATCTTTTTTTTATTAATCGTTTTCATTGGAAGAAAATCAACTTTGAAATATTGTCAGAAATTTTGGTAATGTTGCAAAGTAACCGTGAAGTGATAAAAAAAACGTGCCATGTTAATATTTTTTTTTTTTATCAATAGAGTTTCATTCAAATTTAAATGTGAAATGTGTTGTGAAGAATTTTGAACAAACAAACGTTTTTGTTTAACGTTGCAAAAGTGACCGTGAAGTTGATGAACGTGAATCGTGTTTCCTCTCAGCAAGATATCTTGTTCGATCTATAGAAAAAAAAACTAGATAGAAATTGAGTATACAAACATGGACTTGGCAAGAATATGCCAACTATTAATCACGTTTTGCGTGTCGATGTACTTTCTGCTCTTCTACGCTGGACTATGCATAACATTTTATTTCTTATGGACGGACAATCACTGATACAATGCAAATTGTAATCTTTAAATGACTCTTCTACGTATTTATAGTTGTTCTATCTATTAGGTTGGCAACTGAGTGTGGATTTTAAATAAGAATTGAAAATTCCAAATTGTTACTTAAAAATATAAATTTATTCAATATTAGGTTTAGATTACTTTGCTATTAAAAAATATAATTAGGTGTAAAACAAAATCCGCAATAATTTAGTTGCCAACCCAATATATATATATAGTTCTATATATATAGATATTATATTGTGTTTACATTTGTATACACATATATATATATAAACAATATATAGTTCTATCTATACAATGCTATTACGTAGAATATACGTACGTGTATATATATACAAATATAAACACAAAATGTAAGGTGTATTTGTTTGTAATTTTTTGTTGGTATTTTTTTTTTTACAACTTTATATATTCGTACGTGCATAATCTAACGAACTAGCGTAGAGATGCGAACAAACGAACGAACGAACGAACGAACGAACGAACGAACGAACGAACGAACGAAGGAACGAAGGAACGAACGAACGGGCAGGTGAGACGAAGCGGAGCGGGACACACAGGGAAACAGCATAGGAATAATAGTCTAACAGCGTTCTCTGTTTCGTTCTATAGTCCGCTCACCTGCGGCTTTTATACCGGGTGATCAATCATTCTTCTTTCTCTCTCTCTCTGGTTTTCTTACGTCATTGATTTAAAAATATTTTGTAAAAATTCTTTTGAAAGAAATTTTGTAAGGAAACTTGTTTACCTTTAATTTTCGTCGATAAGCCAAAAAAACTCAAAAACGTTGTATTTGATAAGGATATAATAAGCCTATTCGTCGTACTCGTGAATTATCATAAATGTTTTTACGTAAATTACTACAGGTATATTATTATCGCGTTTTCTATATAACAGTCACGTTTTTACGTATCAAAACAAACGCGATAGAATATATAATTTAAACTCATTTTATTTTATCTGTTTTTTTTTTTTTTCAAACAAATTTATCGTTGAATAATTTAATTTTATATTTCTTTTTTTTTTTGGTAAGTAATATCTTTTGAATTTAAATAGTATTTTTAATAGTGTATCTAGAATTGTATAATATTAATTGCAACACCCGGTATAAGGCGTCATAATGACTATAGCGTCGGCAACTGTAGACGGTGTTGTGCCGGCGGCTAAACTCGTAGTAAGGTAGTGACCGATGCCATAAGATTCAGGTGTGTTGTGTGTTGTGTTGTGTGCAGTGTTGTGTTCTTGTGTATACCCCCTTCTTCTTATTTTTTAGTTCATTTCTTCTTTTTCTACTTTAACTTCAACTTCTTCTCTTCTTCTGCTTCTTCTTCTTTTGCTTCTTCTGCTTCTTCTTGTTCACCTCCTTCACCTCCTTCACCTTATTCTCGTAGTCGATAGGACGCTCTCTCAGTTTAACGGCGGTAGCCCACGCGAAACAACACCGGGTTCCCCTTTTTCTCTCATTCTCAAGAATAATAACGAATAAGAACGTGACACGTGATGATGACGATGAATCATTCGATCAAGTATTTCCAAATTCAATTCAAAGTGTCCTTTTAAAAACATTTCTTCCCTTTTTATTCTTTCATTTCATGTTTTCTTATTTTTAACGTGTTGGTGGTTCATTTGAAGTGTAAGTCAAACAAATTGTGTCTTTCTCTCTCGAATATTATCATTTTAAATGCAATTAGAATTAATCATAGAAGTAATTCATTTTGATCACTGACGTCCTAGGATATTTGGGATTTGTAGGAAGATGTTGAAATATTTGATTGAACGAATCATTTGTAATATTTTATTAAGATTTCACTAAGGCAACCTTTATAATGTCTACTCATTGTTTTTCTATGATCTATCGAATATAAAGACGTCGAAAGTTTATAAAAGCCACATCGCTTTCATCCAACTTGATATCGTTCATTAATCTTCAAGGAAGGAGGAATCGGTTGAGCAGTTCGATCGTTAGAAAGATATTAGGATATTTCATCGACTAACTTTCCAAATTAGAAAAAGAAATTTTGATAAGTCAAGTATTCATTAATTAAACTATCATTATATAAAATTCAAAAGTATGATTTTTGCTAGGCCAATTAAATTGACACCACAATACTTCACTCACATATCTAAAATGATTAAATTGTAATGAAATAAAATAATCGTTGGTTCTACTTTTGTTTCGAGTTCAAGAGAAACGTTTTATTCTAACATTCCGAGTGATAATTCGGTTGAAACCGTTTTCGCACATATTCACAAAACGATCTCTTTTTCTTGAAAATTAACAAATTACTTAGGATGACGATATTTTTGAATTTCTCTTCAAAGTTTTCTTACGATGTCTCTCTTTCATCAATTCCACCCATTCCTGGGTGTTCCCTCTCTTTCTCATACTGTCCGAGCAAATCCAAACTGGAATTTGTTCCATTCATGGAACGTCGCGCAACGTCTGCCGTTTCCAGAATGGCGGAGAGAATTGTACACATGAATATATGTACTCTAAATCTATATATACAAAACATACGGAATGGCCTGTGCCATTGACCAGCTACATTGACCAGCTACATTGACCAGCTAAATCATCAGCGCGTAAAAAGTTAGCTCAAAGCGTAAATTTGGTTGTTCTCCTAGGTTAAACAATAATTCATCCATCTCTTTAACCGATCAAAGTTATAAGAATAATAGATCTTATCTGTGAAGTAGCAAATGCCGATAACAATTTCAATAATAATAATCAAATAAAAAGATAGTGTCGAGTTTATCGCAAACGATAAAAAAATATTCGATATCATCGATGTTTCGCGTTAATACAAAATGTTATAACTTATTATTAACGGGAATTGTTTATCTGTTGAAAAGGTTCGAGAAGAAGAGGCCGATCGCACGCTAGAACTTGTTGCGGTGATGATCTTCAGAGTCTACAGACACTTCACGTGATTGGACGTGCCGAAAGACAGGAAAGTCCAATTGGAAGCAACACCAACAACAATAATAACAGCACCAGCAACAACAACAACAATAATAATAATAATCACGGGCAGGATCAACCGATAGTTGACTATAGAAGACTGGTATTCATCAGTTCGGATTCATCGTCAGGTCGTGAGGAAGACGATGCAGACAGCAGTTGTTCCAGTTCCTCTTACTTAAACGGTTTACCACGCGGTAGTAGTGGTAGTCACGCTCAATCCCACGAGGAGGATTGTGATTGGGATTATTTCGAGAGTGGTTCGATACCAGTCGTCATTGGTGGTGGTACCACCAACGTTGCAACGGAAACTAATATCTCGCAGGATTGGAGTTGTTGTCCTGGACGTGGATCATCCGCTTGTCGGGTAAACTTTTTCACATTATATTTACAAGAAACAACAAATGTTTATCAATCTTCTCGTAAATAGATACTTTTATTAGATTAAAAGATAACGTTAGATAACGGTGATCGATAAAAACGATAATATTGAAACCCGTCTAATCCAATATTGTATTCTTTCATTGTTTCATTTAGGCTTGCGGGGGTTCTGGAAACGCTAACGTACTTCCGGTACCAGTGCCTATACCAGTCCCAGTACCATATCCGGTACCAATACCGGCAGCTCTCTGGACCGGTGATTTCGCAGCTGCAGCATCCTCGATGATAAGTCGTGCCGGAGATTCGGAACCTGGAACTTTGAGATTGAAAGGTGATCCACGTGCACCTTGGTTCGCTTGGCATCCAAGATTTAATCAACCGTTGCATCGTGGTAGACTTGATCCAAGATTGACAGATATCTTCGATCCAAACAGTTGTACATTTAGACCGGAACAAGTGATCGGTCCACGTTTATACGAGTCACCTATCGAAACGTCAATTTCATCGGCTACCGAATCTCTGAGTAATCATCATCATCATCATCATCATCATCATCATCATTTGGGAAATACTGGTGGTGAAACGGTGAACAATAATTTAGGAAAGTCTAATACAAACGTGGAGGATAATTTAATGAACGAAACTTTGTCAACGAAAGAACACGAATCGACCAATAAAGTAACTGAACAGAAAGATGATTCTAACGTTATCAATGTTGACAAACTCGTACAAACGGAAAATAGAATGGAAGAAGAAGAAGAAGAAGAAGAAGAAGAAGAAGAAGAAGAAGAAGAAGAAGCTGTGTGCGAGGATTCCTTATCTTCTTCATTCGAAAGTAGAGATCAAATAATATATCAAAGATCTCACGAGGATTCTGGTAGTTCATCTGGACGTTCTTCGGCTGATAGTAGCGATCTCGAAGAAGATTCTTCATCCCACAGATTTTCCCGAGTTTTCGTAGTAAACGATGATTCTCTTACAAGTGATAACGATATTGAGGACAACGGCGAAGAAGATGATTCCGATTCGGCTAACGAAGGTGGTGTAACATTGAAACGTGTCACTGCTTTACCAGAAGAAGAATCTGTGATATTGCAACATGTTCGTTTGTTAAACGAGGATGGCAACTTTGAGGATATCAATGGAAATCAAACTAATAGAAATAGATCTGAGGATGAATCAGAATCAAGAAAAGCTAATAATCCAAATGATAGTTCAAACTTGATGAAGATAAAAACTCGTGATGGACATAATCCGGTAGAAGTTGAAAATGATGACAGAGTACCATTGTTGTTAGATCATCGATTGATTCCAGAAGAAATATATCTCGCTGACGAGAGCGAATCATTAGGTAATAAAATAGAATTGAAATCGGTTAGAATCCTGGATCCTGATAGTATCGATGCAACTTCGAACATAAGTGTAAACGAAGTTCAATCGATAGAAGATACAAGCAACGAAAATGTTAATGATAACGATGAGGAAAGTGATTTGTCCAGTTGCAGTGGAAATTGGGATTCAACTATAATACCAGACTCATTAGAAATATCCAAAGAAATGTCTAAGCACGATGACAATTCGTCCGATGAAATTTTAAGGGATTCCAATAAAGATGATCACGTGGATGACGATGAGAATGAAAATGAAGTACGTACAAACTCGTCTAACGATAAGAACGATTGCGAAACTTCATCGGATAAGCTTAACGTGTTATCAGACGTTTCATTAAACGACGATACGTCAGATCATAAGAAAGATATTAATAACGAATCAAGCCAGAACGTTATCGGCAATATGTTTTTCTCTTCGATGGAAAGTTCAACTGGTAACGAAACAACAACGACAGGAAGTGAAGTTAGCAGTGACGAGCTTCACGAATATGAGGTCACACCGTTGTACGATGGCAACGCAACAACCAGGATTACTACTACAACTACAACGATATCCGCCGTGAGCGAAAAATTAATGCTATTGAATCGAGAAGAAATGGAAAAGACGTTGGAAAGTATAAAAGAATTGGAGGTTAGCGAGATCAGCAAAGAGGAAGAATCTTTGTACGATAAGTTCTCGTTACATAATTCCAGTACGGAGAGTCTTGCAACTAAAACAGAAAGGAAGAAGGAAGAGGAGACTGGTAACAAAGTGTTAGAAGTGTTGATGGTGAATAAAAACGTGGGTGATGGTGGTGGTGGTGGTAGTGGAGAAAAGGATGTTGTTGGAAGGAAATGGGCAGGTCGGGAGGTAGGCGAGGTTATATCTAACAAAATTCAAGAGATCTTCATGAGCGGTGAACGTGTCGAACGAATAACTGAGACTGCGCACGAGGAGTACGAGCAAGAGCAAGAGCAGCACGATTCGTACACAACGGTGAGAGGCGAGAGTCCTGCTGCTTCAAGCGAGGTAGTAGGAAATAACAACGAAGGTGGTAGTTGTGACGGTGACGGTGGAGGTGGAGGTGGAGGTGAAGGTGGTGGTAGTAGTGATGGTGACTCGACGGTGGGGGTATCGACACGGTTTCGCTCAGTCGAGCGACGCCCGTCCACTCGAAAGGAGAATGGATTCCCTCCTGCCGCGTCGACGAAGGATTCCACAAGAGACAACAACGACGACGACCACGACGACCACGACGACCACGACGACCACGACGAAGACAACGAAGACGACGACGACGACGACGAAACATCATTTAGTTACTTTCCCTCATCTACGATTCCTTCGAACAATACAACCGGTACTACTGCTAACAACAACAACGCTAGATATAAGAGCCTCGTGATGATTACCCAAGAAGCTGCTTCGTATCAACCGGTGAGCGTGATTACGTCGGACACTACGACCTTGTTGCAACCGGATGAAGTCCATTCGGCTGGTCAGGGTCTAGCCGGGTATTTCCAGCTGGCGCTAGAAGCGGTAACAGAACAGCCACACCGTAAGACTGGCCAACCACCTAGAAGACCTCTCATGGTGAAAAGATTGCCGAGCAATGTGACGAGCAGCAATCATTCCGAAGCAGAAGCTGACAGTGGTTTAAGCGTGGGTAGTGCTAGTGAGAGTGATGACGTTTCAGTTAAGAACGCTAATAAAATAAATAATCGTTTGGAAGGTGGTAACAGTAATGAGGATTCTCAATCGAAAGATCGTCAGAGTTGCAACAACAATGATCATCAACGCGAAGGATTACGAGCACGTGTGTCTTCCCAATCGAGTGACGATAATTCGGCTAGTGGTGGGGTTGTTATACTCGAAGAAGGACTCGCTGATGATGATTCCTGGGTCGAAGAAGTATCCCACGACGAGGATGAACCCGAAGCTACTACTGCAACCGAGGAAAGTTCCGAGGACGAAGCTAATAATCTTGGAGATCGAGAGGAAGAACTTCGAGGATATCACAGGCAAGCTATCGATTTTACTCTTCATACGATTGTTGAGGAATCGTGCGAGGAAAGCGAAGCAGAACCCAGCAGTTTGGCTACAGGTAGTAGTCCGTCGAAAAAACAACGGCCACCGTCCGCCTCGGAATTAGAAAAATATTTTTTCTTCGGACTCGGTGGTGATGGAAATAATTCCAGTATGGGATCTCGCGAGGTTGATAGTCTTTCCGAAACTTCATCCATTTATTCGGAAGGTTTGGAATCTCTTGGACAAGACGAACCTACTAGTACAGCTTCGAACGCTAGTACAACAACCACCGGCTGTCAAAGTCAAGAACGACTAAATTCCAATAACGAAGGATTTCTCAACTCTTCCAGATTGGAAAAGTACTTTCTATCGGAGTTTCTTGGATTTGACCAAGACAGACGTGACTCCGATGGTTCGGTTGGTAGCGATTCCGAAGGAAGACCAAGTCCAGAAGCTCAACGAAGAAAACGTCTCGTTCGTGCTAGGGGTACTGGTAGATCACACAGTTCTTCTCTCGACAATTTGTTGGCTTTGACGCAAAGCTCGCAAAATTTAAGCTCCCAAAATTCTCTGCAAGATCTAAGTCTCAATCAAGATTTGCAGGAAACGCAATCGGAGGGATCGTCGACCGAAACCGACGGCGCTGAGGATGGACAAACTCCGGCTTTTGGTACGGATGGACAATTCGATACGGTCAAAAGGAAAAAGAAAAAGCCAAGAAATTTGGGTACCCAGAGTCCTCGGGTACCACCAGACGACAGAAACAAAACTCCCGAACCAAATAGAGAAATGGTATTGGTCGGAGAAGTAGTGGTTGAGGATGATACGGAAGCTGCCAATTCGGAAGATTCTGAAAGAGCTAAAACTCCTCAACCGGAATGCGCGTTATCTTCTTCCTCATCGCCATCCGTCGTCATTGGTGGTAACGCGTCGACGACGACACCCTCGCCGCAAGTAATCGTTGATTCATCGAGAAATCTTCTCTCAGCATCCTCGGCCGATTCTATCGCTTACAATCAAAGATCGAAACAACAATCGAGAGATTCCGGATTCGTTGGTAGTTGCGATGATCTTTTGCAACATCAAAAGATACCCGATGACGTTCAAGTTAATTCCGAAGTTAATCAAGAAACAGGAAAAGATCATCGTACGAGGAAAGAAAGTAACGCGAGTGTTCGAACTACCGATGAAATCATTTCTAACGATACTGCTGTTGTTGGTAATGAAAAAAACAATTCCGTAAAGATTGATCATCCGATCAATCACGCGACGAACACTACTATACCAGCACATTTGCCAAATGCATCACTATCGCGAAAAGATAGCTTTAACAATTGGTCCAGTGACGAGGAAACGAATCTGATGATGTCTAAGATGCGACAATTTTTCAAAACTATGGTTGCCAATTCGAACGGTCAAGGTCAGAATGTAGCCAATGCAAATTCGAGCGGTGCGTCACCGGCACCGAGTCCACGGTTACCTGGATATTCCTCGAAGGCAAGAATGTGTTCACAAAATCGCACTAAACCACCCCAATTGGTATACTTTGAGAACGAATTAACCAGATTAATGAAAACCGTACCTGGTATACGTGACGAACAAGTTCGAGAGATCGTCGAGTATCTCAGTTCCGAAGATACATGGTCTGATTCTTACGACAGTTCGGATTATACCAGTTCGGATTTGGAAGGAGCTGCTGGTGGTCGTCGTTCGGCATTGCAAGAACAAATTTCACAAAGTTGTCAACAGATCATTAGCAAATTCGATACTACTTCTGGTGATAATATTTTAAGCGAGAAAGAAACTAAAGAAGATAATAATAATAAAAATGGATCTACGATTCAAACACCTTGCCTTGGTAAAGACACTGCATTCGTTTATCAAAAATTGGTACAGAGTTTTACTAAAATGGCAGGTGACGGTGTGAGTTCCGATACAAATTCAACACCTCATAGCAGTCCTCCATTAATTGCTAAGGTTATGCATCACATAGGTAGTCGATTGGTAGCATTGATGCACGAGGTGTCAGAAGGTGGTCCAGCAGTGGTTCAGCATCATTCCTCAACAACATGGAGAAGATATTCGCAACATCATCGAACACCATCATCTGCTTCAACAACGGAAGACGATGATTCAACGTCAGATTCAACGAATGCCACTTGTTCGGCTCACCTGCAATTACCTAGATCCAAATCTCACGATCCTTTGTTACTCATCAATAATCATCCTAGTGCGTCGACCGGTCAGGAGGGAGAGGAAAGGGAAGCCAGCGATTATGAAAGATTCTCATGGCGTGGTAGTTTTGAATCTGCATTAATGGCAGCTGACTCGAGAACGAAACTAAGTTTATTGGCTTGCAGCGGAGATGTCAGTGGGGTTGGGGTTGGGGCTAGTGCTAGTGCAAGTGCATTGGCAATGGCAGCCAAACGACGTAGTGCCGGTGATTTGTTGTTTAATCCTAGAAGCTTATCGAGAGAACAATTAGACAGGGTTAGAAGTTGCGGTTCTATTGGTGGTGGTAGTAGCGGTGGAGGTGGCATAGGTGGTGGAGGATCTATCGAAGATAGAATTTGGAGTAATAGGAGAAGATCTTCTGTTCCTGATGCAAACACCAGAGGAGAATCCGGTAAGTTTATTTTTGTAAAGTAGTAATACCAGTAGGATTATGCCAATCGTATTTGAAAATATATAAAATTAGGTGCATCGGCAGGTGACGAGGATACCGAGGACGAATTAGAATACGGTGGTGAATCGCGTGCCACAACTCTACCTCGTGGCATGCAATCAGCATTAAGCGCAGCTACCAATTCTCTACCACGTTTACCAGCTTCTACTACGACAACTGGCTTGACAACAACATCAACGACCTCATCCCAAATGCACAAAGCGCATAGCGTTTATCATTTTCTACCGCAACACAGTGGCGTGAAATCGGCCAGATATCGACCGCCCGGTTTTGCTAGGAACAGTAACGTAACGGGAGCTATCATTGGTGCCGGTGGTGGTGCTGCTGCTGGTGCTGGCCCTAAACGAGCGGTCAGTGCACCGGGTTTACAAGTCTCAGGATCGCAAAGTTCAGCTGCCAAACGGGACAATTCTAGATCTAGAAGACAACAGGCAATATCACTAACGCCTGGTAAGTTTACTGAATGTTTTTTTAATCTCTTAGGCATAGGCTGAATTTGAATAGGGTTTACGGTTGCGTCAGGGTTCAAAGAAAATTGCGGGTAAATATGTACCGAACAATGCTTTTGTTAACTTTAAAAATTGATATAATATTACGACGTAGTTTTCTTTGTTTTGTAAATGATAAAGAATTTCGTTAAAACGTGATAAGAACAAAGTTATTAGACAGAAACTACAAATGGTATATGCATATATAATACATGTGTTAAGTTCGTAAAGTTTGCCGTTTGAACGTAACAGGTGTAACACGCGTTGCATCCCATATCTAAACTTTCTCTCTCTCTCTCTCTCTCTCTTTGTTGTTTCCCTCTCTCGTCCAGCAAACTAATCGATAATCCAACGTGAGGTCGTGGCCTGCGTATGCGTACACTGTTCGACTTTTCTGAACGTTTCTCATATATCTTTTTTGCACGTGTGATTCATCCTCGTGAATTGTTTGCTTGAAATAAAATTATTAAACACTTATTGTTTTTATGAATAAACATAAAAGTGTTATTTGAACACTTTGAATATTGAATAATTTTCATTGAAATGTTTATTATCTTTAATCTCAGTTTTACGTCTACGTCGTAAAATTAATCTCATGGGTAGAGTCGTGTAATTAATCAAACATTTTCCTATTATTCTTGTTGTTTGTAGTTTATATTTAAAAGTAAGAAAGGGAGAGAGAGGGTGCGTGTTAAAAGATAATGCGACGTTGTTTTATCTAAGGATATTTATAATAATTGAATTTACACATGAGTTGTCTTAATCTTTTTCTATCTTTCTCTGTACCGATGAAATTATCTTGCCACTCCCCTCTATGGTCGCTGCTGCTTCGACAGATCAATAACTGAGAAAACTGACGTAACTCGTATAACCCCCATAGAAAATTGATGACAAACGAGTGATGGAAAAATATATGACTTGTCTCTTTAATATATACAATATTTTCTATTACAAATGATAATAATGATTTTGTTTAATTATATAAAACAAAGTTTATTTAGTTTGATTATTATTTGAAAAAAAAAAAATATATAATAATTTCACTTTGTAGATGATATTTTTCCTTGCTCTAATAATTCGTAGAGACATTCTTGACTGTATCAACACAATGAGAGAGAATTTCACTTGAATTCATGTTAAAAGAAGAAAAAAAAGATGAAGATTTGTTTTGAGGTTCATGGGACACGACAGTTTGTTCGAATATTTCTCGTGCTCGTTTCGTAATGTTAAAGAGAAAACTTAAATACCCTAATACAAAAGTTGGCATATACCTAAAAACACATCATCTGTATACGAGCTGTGTTTGTGTTCATTCATTCTTACTAGTGTAACCGGGTTACCTGAATAACTTCTCGCTTAGCAAATGTCTTCAACAATTTTCGCTTAGCTTTGTTATTCGATCGGTCGATCTTCAATCTGAATATTGGAATATGAAAAATTAATTGAAATTAATTAAAAAAAAAACAAAGTAAACTTTCATTAATAAGTGTAGCTTGTGTAGACAAACGGTAAAAGTGAAAACCTTTCTACGTGTTAGCATATTTTGTTCTCTTAGTTTCTTTCATGCAATATAGAAGCTTCGAAAGCGAGTTATTTCATTATATTCAACGATAATCCTATCTACTACAACACACGTGACGATCTATCGCAAGAGGGAAAGGTTAATTAACAACGTGGGACATATTAAGTTTTTAATTAATTCAAGGTAAAAAGAAAGAAAAAATTGAAAGAAAAATATAACGGCTGAAAAGACTATCCTTTGCCGTTCATTTCAAAATTGTCTTTGCAAAAACATTCATTATTATTCAATACAATTATTCCAATTTATCATTAAACAATAACAAAACAAAACAAAACAAAACAAAAATAGAAAAATGAATTTCCATAAACGCGTTGATCACTTTCTCTCTTTGCAAATTCAAATTGACACGATAAATTAAATTAGATTGAAGGATTTAATCAATTGTTCATCCACGGATGCATAGAATTCAAAGTAATTAATATTAATACATAATAATAATCGTGAATCCTGTCGTGTTTATGTAAATTACGAAAGTCAACTTTCTCACCGAAAGCGTTAGCTAGCTAGCTAGGTACCTTACTAGCTAGGTACCTTACTAGCTAGATGATCGTTCAGAGTTTACCTTGACACGGATTTTCTTCAAACATAGTTCTTAGACATTGCAATCTCGTATCTACGATGTCGTCTACCATATACAAAGTCATTGAAAAATCATTTCTTTGCAAGTTTATTCGTATCTTCCGTTATTCCCAAAGATTATTGTTATAAACATTATCTTACAAATTTCATCATAGATCAAACTTTATTTCATATTGAATGATTTTATTAACGCGTCCGTCACCGGTGACTGACACGTTCAACTGGTTTCTTATTTAAAGTAAAGTGCATGGCCTGACGTGATGTAAAACGTAAAAATGAAAGAATTAGAAAAAAAAAAAAATAAACTTTTCGAACTATAAAGATAGTTTTTTTATGACCTTGAACGCGGAAGTTTTAACAGATTATTTTGTGTTCATGGTAACGAGAAAAGGCAGGAAATTGAAATCAGCTTTATCAGTGTTGCTCTCGTTCCGTCTGGCAGATTATAAGAAGTGTGACTTTGGACAAAACGAGCTCGTTAGTACCACGAACAGTTTTGTTCTCCAACAGTTTGGATCCATATTCTCATACGTGTGTGTGTATGTGTGTGTTTGTGTTTGCTTTTTCTTCGTTGCAATTACACGTTTTGTTTATTTCACAAATTAACTGACGAAAGATCATTTTTATTTTTTATCTAAAATCTACTTTCCAATTCAAAGCTGTTAATCGTGTTCTTCATTTAAGGGATGTGTGTGTTTTCAAATGCTTTGAAAAAATTACTCGAGTAGGCAAATTGCGTTGAAGGGTTCTTGTTATTCAAAACTTTCAAAGTGTTGGACAAATAACAAGCTGATTTTGAAAGTGGTGTTCTTTCTGTGTGTGTGTGTGTGTTTTTTTTTTTTATTAGCATACTTGTATATCAAAAAAAAAAATGTTTAAAGATTCTCGTTATTCAACATTTAAAACGCAAAAGTATTATTCGTCTGAGGATAATGTTGGACGAATTAAAAATTGTTTTACGAAATGGTGTTCTTCCTGTTGTATCCCAACGTATTCTTCAACTTCTTCATCCTCGTCAAAGAAAGAAGAAATTTCTTCTGTGACTATTGCATCTTCTGGAAAGTTAAAAAACGAGGATGAAATACTACAAGAAGAAGAGTGGAACGATTTCGAAACTAATGAGAAAACTCGTAGAAGACGAAACTTTCTTTCCTTTAATGATCAATCGAAAGATGCCAAAGTTTTTTATAGTTCTCAGAGTTTAAATCTTCAGAGTAATGTTATTTATCAAAAAGAAAAGGAAAGAAAATTATCATCTAATTCGGATACCGAACCGATATTAATTGATTCACCGATTTTATATAAAAAGAATCCAAAAATTGTTACGTTTCTTTCGGATGATAATAAAATAAACCAAGTTGATAGTACGAATCAACAGACAAATATCGCTATTACTATCGAGAAAATCAAATTTAGTTGGTTTATTAAATATATTTATATTAATAATATTATCTTAAAAATAACTGACCAGATAAATACTTAACAATTTGATTTGTAATGTTGTTTTTTTTTTTTTCTTTGTAAATTTCTTTATCCTATTAAAAGATAAAACAAGATAGAAAGAGAATGATGATATATTTTGTGTTGTTTTGCAGATGATGGAAGTAGTTTGTCAGAGGCGTGCAGTACGCCAATCATCGGTGCCGGTTCGCGTGCTGCTTCTAGTCACACGGTCATGGATATGGACGATATGGATCCTGGATTGCATTCTGGACATCTCGCTACTCGTGCTTCTTTGTCCAGCCTTGGAGTGAGTACACGTCATCCCATATATAAGTCTCTTCCACGCCTTTAAAACTCGAATACGATTGCAAGTGAAAGTTCAATTCCGACCGATTTGCGTAGCACGAATAACTCGCAGCACCAGAACACTAATCCCTATGTTGCAAAAAAACAACGTATTTTTATATATTAATATTTTAATTGTACAATTAATGATGATGATGATGATGATGATTTTTTTTTTGTTTTTTTTATTTTATTTTAGGCACGATCAGATTCAATGGCATCGGTTTACAGTGGTGCAGGTGAAGGTAGATGCTGTAGATCGGTAGTTGTTACCGGTGAAGTTGAATTTGCATTGCAATACGATTACAAACATCTCACGTTTGAGGTGCACGTTACCAAATGCAAGAATCTCGCTCCAGTCGACGTCAAACGAAAACGATCAGATCCGTAAGTCTCTTATGAAACAAACACAACCTGAAAATGAAAAACCTTTACCAAATTTTGTATGATTTTGTTGTTGTTGTTGTTGTTGTTTTCTAACACAGATACGTAAAGGTCTATCTCCTGCCGGATAAATCTAAAAGCGGTAAACGTAAAACTAAAGTGAAGAAGCACACATTGAATCCTGAATTTAACGAAACATTAAAGGTGAGCAATAAGATGATCAATTTAATGACTATCGTACGATAGGATATATTTTTGCTCGTGTTAGTTTGTATCGTGTCCTGCATGAGAATTAGATTTGGTTCGCCACAAACGACGTTTCAGTTTCACATGAGCTTGAGCGGTTTGGAGACAAGGACGTTATGGCTGACAGTATGGCACTCTGACATGTTTGGAAGAAATGATTTTCTTGGAGAAGTTAGAATGCCATTGGAGAATAAAATTTTCGACGATCCTACACCAAGATGGTATCCACTTCAGGAAAGAGTAAGTTTTTCGTTAATCCTTACGTTATAGAATTGTTTTTTTTTTTTTTCAAGTGAAAACTTCTTGAGAATCAAGCTCATTTGAAAAATTGTTAAATGGAAAAACGTGAAGCTTGGTTTTTTTTTTTTTTTTGAGAAGTTTTTACTTTTACCATGTGTGATTTGCACACATCTGTTTGTTTTTCTCTGGTCTAACTGTTCAACGATTAAAAACGCTAATCGCGTACGACAGTAAGTGCAATAATTCGTCATGTTTGAAATATATAATATCCATAGATATATTTGGTGCATTTCATTTATTTCAATATAATATACTTGAATATTATATTTAATAATTCAGAACATTGAATGTTCTTTCAATTTTGTATCACGTTATTATATAATACACATTGTTCATAATTAACAAGCACGTATCAAAATGTGCATAGAGTGTTCACCCCTTTTATTATTATTATTTTTTTTTTTTTTAAATACGTTAGTTCTATCTTAGCGAAACACCTTAGTTTTTTTCTTTTGCACGTTGTGTATGCAATTATAATAATAATAATAATGCGAACATATATCTCTCGAGCATGACGACGATTTTTTTTTTTTTCTTTCCACTGCTGTACTTGCGATTAAAATTGTTTGCACCGTTATTATGAAGCTTCAATTTATAATTCCACGCTAAAATAATATTACTTAAAAAAAAATAGAATCATATTTTGTATATTTCCGACGAAAATAATAATAATAATAATAATAATAATAATAATAATCTTCAACAACATTAAAGACATTTATTGATTAAATTGATGATGAATTTGTGTGTGTGTGTGTGTGTGTGTGTGTGTGTGATGTTCGAGGGTGATGTACCGAAAATGATGTACCGTTATTCAACCGGATTAACTATTTATTCGCAGACAGAACCATTCGACGACCCGATAGCTTACAAAGGTGAAGTAATCGTTGGTTTGAAGTTCGTACCACCTGATCCAGCTCAACAACAGGAACGTGAGTTGGGCTCCGATCACAAGGGTGCATCCAAGTCGAGAAAAAATTGGAGTCGTGGTGCATTGCACGTTCTCGTCAAGGAAGCTAGAAATTTGCAAACCAGGGCAAAGAATTCGGGAACTTGTGATCCCTTTTGCAAAAGGTATATTATTATTATTATTGTTATTGATTTTATTCTATAGACGTAAGACATGATTATTTTGAATTCGTAGTTACCTGTTACCTGACAAAGGTCGGTCAGGTAAACAAAAGACTGGTGTAGTTCGTCGATCAGGTGGTTCACCAGTATGGGGTCATACTTTCATCTACAAGGATGTCAGTTTGCAAGAGTTAGCTGAACGAGGACTCGAATTAACGGTATGGGATCACGATCGTATCGCAAGTAACGAGTTCTTAGGTGGTGTACGTTTCAATCTTGGTACAGGTACGTGACTATAATAATTCAATGAAATAATTGTGTAGATTATTTATAGATTAATTATTTCAACAACAACTACTATCGAACAACTACATCTAATTTGAGATGTTTCCTTTTGTATTATTTTGTATTTTTCCTTTGTAGGAAAACATTATGGTAAACAAGTTGATTGGATGGACGCAACGGGACGTGAATTATCATTATGGCAAAGTATGCTCGAAAGGCCTAATTTCTGGGTCGAAGGTGCAGTAACCTTAAGGCCAAATCTACACAACCATGGAAAATCTACTAATGGTTCTTAAGGGATCATCCTTGTTTTATCTTCATGAATTATGATCGAAGTTATTATTTTTAGGTTCGATACTTATTCTTTGTTCTTTCAAGCCAATTCTATAAAATCGATTATGATGATGAACTTCCCATATAAATAATAACATATAGAATTTTAGTTAATCGATATGATGTAAATAAATGAATTAGGCGAGAATTAGGTCTCGTTCTTCGACGATAGATGATTATTAAATCAGTGCCTTTTTTCGGGAGAATAAATGAATTAAAACAAAAAAAAAAACAAAAAAAAGTAAAGGAATTGGAAAAGAATGAAAGAAAAAAAAAATATACTCCCTTCTTAAGGGCACACGAAAGTGTTTTCAAATGTATATGAAACGAGACCGTCCGTGTTTCAAACGGTCGATAGAATAATTTAATTATTTTCTTTAAAAAAAAAAAAAAAAAAAAAAAAACAACTTTCTTATTTTATATAAAATATATATAAGTTATTTGTTATTCTTTTTGAATTTTAATTCATTTTATTTGATTGCTTTTGTTTGAATAAAAATGATGAAAAAAAAAACAAAGAAGAGTGCCAAAAGAATAAATAAAAAAAGAAACTCTCGCCGTTTGAAACACAGAACGCATTACCGTATTAAAAAATTATTAATAAATAATAATAATAAATAATAAATATCGTATACGGCCAACACACTTACCTTTCTTTTTAAAAGAAAGATGCTTCCAGAGTGTACAATACTATTAACGATTATACGAAGGATAGAAATATTATTTTGTTTAATTTCTATTGTCCATCGTTGGACACAAATTCACGGAACGGTATATTTAAGGATTATTAAATATCACCGATTACCGATATGAACAAAATATAAAACAACTAGGTATATATATATATATATATTTATATAAATAATATCCATATAGATGTGTTATATTTATACATATATATATATATATATTGAAATATATTAATCTCAAAAAAATGTGTTAGAGAAATGAAAGTTTCTCGTATCCTCGGTGAATTTATTTTTATTCGAAAATTATTGTTATATTTCGTAATGAAAGAGACAAACATATTTACCGAATATAATAACGCGATCATTAGTATATAATTATTATTATAAATAATATTATATAATTTCCATCTGTTCTTATATGTTTGATTACAGGAACAAATTGTAAGGCTGAATCGATGTATTCGTACTTAAAAAGAAAAAGAAAGAAAGAAAAAAAAACAGAAAAAAACATACACATTCTCGTAGAGGGATATCTTCTTCAATTATTACGTATTACTATAATTAATAATATTAATAATAATAATAATAATAATAATAATGTTAACGATTAATAAGAGATACCATAATCGCGTAAAACTCGTAGAGTTTAATCGTGTAGTGTAATTTTTTTAAACAACAGGGTTATCGATTATAAACTATAAACTGCCTTTTACCATATACATATATGTTAACATACACACACATATATACATATATATACATAGTATATATTTCATATAGAAATTCGTATGGTGCGCAGAATGGAGGGGAAAAAAATGAAGTAAAGTTAATAAAATGTGTTGTGTGCGTGTCAAATATATATTGTCAAATTCAAAATATAATATACATACTTTGTGAAAAAGAAAATGAAATATAAGTGAACAAATACAAGGGATAGCTGAAACAGCAAAATACAAGGAGTAATAATGAATTAGAAACAAATGAAATGATGCATGGTAACACCACTTTTTCTCTTTGTCTCTTTTCGTTATATACACGAATTTGTTGCGTATTATAATAATATCTCGTTCTAATATGAGAGTACATATTATTGTGTACATTTAAGGACCAATACTATTAAAAAGGAAGATCGAAAGTTTTTGCGATAAATTGTTGACATTTGTCTTTCTCTCTCTCTCTCTCTCTCTCTCTCTCTCTCTCTCTCCTCAATTTAAAGATCATTGCTAAACATTCATTCATAGGTCCTTGTTGAAAATAAATCTATTACCTTCGGAATTTTTTCCAGAATAACGATACTTGCATTTTCCAAATGCACCTGTGTATTTGTTTTAATTGACAAAAAATAATTATTAGATCAATTAGATTTATTTTGGATTTGTAATTGATGATAATTTGCATACCTCGGTGTTCTTGAGGTGTACGATTGGTAACTGGTAATGGTGTATATTTGATATTAAAACAAACATCGTCAAACTCATTAGGAAGTGGTACGGTAATGACATTATTGTTTGATTTATTGGAAAATACTTTAACAGTTCTCATATATCTTCCACGATTTTCCGCATCAATTCTTTCTTTTTGAGTGATTTGACGTGAATCGAGAAACCTTAATGTCGATGGTAAAACATATATTGCATAAAGCCTGTAACGTTCGTAATCATTTTCATCGGTTGACGTTGGATTTGTCAATTGATCGGGACATCCTGGATTTCCTAAAAGACTCACGTAATTTATCATAGGACAACATTGTCGTATTTTTTCTAATGCTTCATCTATATCGGTTATCTGAAAAATAAACAATCCTTTTTTTTTTTTTCATTTCATTTCATTTTCTATTTGACAAATATTTCCAAAGAAATTCTTTTCAACTCGCAAATGCTTTGAATCAAAACTAAAGACCCTGAGAATTGATTTCTTTATCTGTAAACACTTATTTTTATCGAAATGTAACGATAACGGAGTTACGAAGTGAACGACCGAGAATTCCCTAGCGATAATCTGACATAAGAAATTATGAATGCGTATCTCGCGTGCATGAAGTATTCCCATATTTGATCATGTTTTTCCTTTCCTCATTTAAAACGTACAGCCTTCTCGTCTTGAATAATCATATTATTATAATCTAATCTACGTTATCTAACTCTCGGTCTATCATTTTTTACTACTCATTTATTGTTAAATTCAAATAAAACTATGTTTTAGCTAGTGTTTTCAAGAGTTCATTTCTATCAATACAACAACTGTATAAATAAATCTTTCAACTATTAGCTATAAAGATAAAAATAAATAAATAAAGGATGCACATTGGAAGCATTAGGAACCAACCTTATTGTTATTCAGGCTTAAAGTAGTCAAATAAGGCATAGACGGTAGAGTTTTTAGATCGCGAAGTTGATTATTATCCAATATCAATTCCTTTAGCCTAAAGAAATCCTTTAATCCCGTAATCGATGTTAATTCGTTGTAAGAAATGTCCAAACTCAAACAAGTACAACCAACAACACGGACCAATCCTCCGGGAATTTTTTCTGCCCGTTGTCCAGTGTACCAAGCCTAAAGAAAGAGTCGTTGAAAACAGGCAGAAAAAAAAAAGAGAAAAAGAAAAAAGAACAATAATCAATGATAGATCATTTATTTTTTTAACGATTCACTAACTTTCCTTCCATTATTTTCGTACGTTTAGATTAATTCACGAACGTATTACCCGTTCACCGTCGATCGTCAATGCACTCCTATTAAAATCTTGATGCTTTTCTTCAGCCATCTTGTACCACTGTGTATGTCAAATATGTGCGTCGTATAAAATATTGTAATCCGAGATTACATTTTTCTCAACCGACGACAAACAACACCAGACAAACAGAGAGAGAGAGAGAGAGAGAGAGAGAGAGAGAAACTGTTAGTTTCTTGAATGATTCGTGTTGGCAAGGTTGTCATCAATTTTGTTCATAAATTTATTCCTACTTTTAAAATATATTTTTCATTCAACCAACAACACGGCTCGTTGGTCTAGGGGTATGATTCTCGCTTAGGGTGCGAGAGGTCCCGGGTTCAAATCCCGGACGAGCCCAGTGTTCTTTTTTTGTTCCTTTATTTTTTATTTTTTCTATACACAGTTATCTACATTAAATAATATTTGTATTATTTATTTATTTATTTATTTATTTATTTATTTATTTATTATAAAGCAATGCAATTTGATAATCATGAAATACATCAAAGTATTTTTTATATATTAATATTACTGTAAAAAATAGTCGATAAATTATCGACGGGGCAACTTGTTGGACTGTTTGACAGACATCAAAATGTTCGACTACTAGTAAATAATTTATCTTAACTTTAACACATACTTGCAGATGGTGTTTCGATTAACTTTTATTTCATATATTTATAAATAAAAAAGGAACATGTGTGCATATCACAAGAAGTGAAACCTTCAAATAAACAAGTTTCGAGGATAATTTATTATATAATATTATTATAATATTATTTGTACTTTTCAATTGTAATTATTTATTTAATTATTAATTTAATTATAAAAATGCGCGCCTGTTCATATGCAACCCTCCATACACACTTTGAAAATGTTGCTTGCGAGCGCCACCTGTTGGGACGGAATTTTTGTTCACTCCAAACTGTTCATACACACATGTATCACGGGTTGCCTATCTTTCGGGCAGACAAAAATTCCGTTCCAACAGATGTCGCTCGCAAGCAACATTTTCAAACTGTGTCTGGAGGGTTGCATTCATTCAGGCCCCGCGCATTTTTATAATAACTACAAAGAAAGTAAAGATAAAACAGTTTGAAAAATGTTTGCAAATTCTACAGAAGTTTCACTTCAATAATTTTTAATACATAATAATAAACATTTCGTCATTGAAAGAAGTTAATTACGTGTGCATATGTTCCCAATATTGGGAATTGAAGAGGATATTGTTTATACAAGCACATATTGTTAGAAAAATATGAATGCCTCTTAACGAACGTTGATAAGAATCTTCAAGAATAAAATATGTATTAGAAATAAATGAAAATGATATTTATTGGCCAATCTGATTAGATGTCAAAATCGATTGATTTGGTTAGAGTAGGAGGATTCTTATCAGACGACTCACAACTTACGACTCATGCACTTACGTAAGCACGTGTAACAAAGGTATCAAGCACCTGTCTAATGTGTACTCGCATATCCGGTAAGACTGTTTCCGGTATGTAGGGGATGGTACCCCCTATGGTGTCCTCTCATCGAAGACCCCTCCAAACAGGGTACGACCCCCCAAAACCTTCCACGCTCCAATGCTTTACTCTTTCTATCTCTCTATTTTCCTAACCCTAGAAACGTTTTGTGGTATTCCCCTACCTAGTGGTTAAATTCTCCATACGTGTTTTTCTTTTTATTTTTATTTTTTTTGTTCTCGTATATTCGACGGGAATGTGTGTTTGAAATCATAATAGATCATTCTACTACGGTGTTGCTGATAATTATTAATATTTCTATACAATTTGCTTCTTCTTTTTTTTTGTATATCAAAATGAAATAGTTTAAAATTATATTAAATCAACAGATATATCATCATACTCATACTACGTTTAGTTTACTAGGATACTATGTAAACTTAGTGTTTAAGATTTAGATGATCATCATGAGTTGTCTTCTTCTCTTTTATATCTAGGATGATGTTTCATGAAAATTATTTAAAAAGGGAGAAGAAGATCGAGAGCAAACACTAATCGATTTCACACTCCCGTTGAGTATAAATTAATAGACACTTAAGGGTCCGAGGCGTGTCCTCGATAGGTACCAGGATGTTTCAAGGGTGTTACACCAAACCAGGTGTTACTTGTGCTCGTGCGAGGATGCACCGTTATGAGAAGAGTCCCTCTCCCTCTCTACAGGGCTGAAATATAAACGTTCCAAATGGAAAACAGGATTTTCCTTAAGCTTTACCATTTCATCTATCATTTACAAAAGGTTTATTTAATAAATTGTTTCATCTCATAAAATATCCTTTTATACAATTAATGATTTATCATTTTTCTTCTGTCATAGATTTAATAAAATAATAAAATCATTGAAAATTCAATGAAAAAACAAACATTTATTCAAGATGGGTAGATTAAAGTACATACGATCAAGATGAAAATATTCGTGGGGTTAGGAGAGGATATCGAGGATTTCAATCTGGTTTTCCCCTCTACTGAAAGATTTATCTTTGAATCTGCAGAAGATGAAAATAAAAAAAAAAAACACAAAACTTTTTTCGACACAATAGAGACACGTCCCGTTGGAGTATTTTCATTTGGGATTATGACAAAACGTGGATGGGACCTAGGAATACTTGAAATCTATCTATGTTACGGTCAATATATATACTTCAGGTATATTTCAAAAATATAATTTAACATTTATTATAGAAACTTATTTAAAAATCATTGAAAAATGTAAAATCTATCTTAAGTGACGTGTACAACTTTAATGCATAGCGTGAGAGAAATAATAGCATTCGTGGGAACCAGAAACGAATCATCAAACGTTTTCACGATTTTTTCTCTCGAGAAGAGAGGATCGCAGATGTTAAGGATAATAATTCATTCTCCGTGTTTTCTCATAGAAAAAAAAAAAAAAGGAAGATTCATTGCCCCATCAGAATTAAAACCATTTTAACTAATCATCCAAATTTAATGAACTTTGCACGAAACTATTTGTTGTTTATTACAAAAAGAGAATTCATATTTATTAGGCTGATTTTATCTAGTTGATAAATAAAATAGAAATTAGAAATAAAGGAGGCAAGTGTCGAGCAGTAAAATGAACAAGAACGGAAATCAGGACTAATGTTATCCACGTGCGTGACGCGTGCTATGAAAACATTGCATAAGGGTTGAACCCAAGAGTTAAGTATTTCGGCGACATTTGGCCTTAGTCGAGTAACCTATAATTATGCGGTTGAATACAGGTACCTAAATATAATCTGATTTGAAAATCTACTCGATTATCTTGACCTCTAAATTGTCCTAATCAAAAATGACAAAGTTTGCAAAGGTAGATAAATCATGAATTTCATTCGAACCAAACTATAATAGTTTAACTATACCTTGACTATGAATAAATCGATGTTGTATAAGTTGACAGAAAACACCAATTTCAAATGGGCACAATTGAATGAGTTGGGAATACAAAATCCTAAAACTAACCCAGATTTTTAAAGATGATAGAATTTTCATTAAGATATACTTATGGTTTCGTACAAATTTTGCGGAATCCCCATAGATAAGAATATATATATATATATATATAAGCACCATATAGAAAAATATACTAGTGTATGATATATATGATGGAAACACGAATTACGTTGCTCCTTATCAGATCGATGAAGAGGCGTCACCGCTACCCCAGCAACGGCAACGAGGGGGTAGAGGCATTCTCCGTTGACTACCCCTGCACTCCCTGCACTCCCTGCACCCCCGCCTTCAGTGCCGCCTCACGACGAATGGGGGTCGTGCTTTGGGCTTTCAACCCCCAACATTGGCAATGTTAGAGTGAGATGGGAGAAACCTGGGAGCATGGCTTCCGCCTTTCCTCACGGTTTTCACGTATTTCAGTTACGATCGGAAGTTTAGAGTGTTGGTCATCATCATACCTAAATTCTATCGAGATAAGTGATTATGTCAATGTGATTATACCAATCTAAAACTAACGTAACAAAACGAAAATAGTTTTTTTTATTTTTGAGGGGTTATTGTTTTTAAAAAAAAATCCAAAGTAATAAAATATTTGGTCAGTGATTGGCACAAATACTTTTAGAAATGTTGTAAAAGGTGTGTGTGTGTGTGTGTGTTTGTTAAAAAATAAGAGATGAACATGAAGAGTAAAAATTGAAAATCTGAAAATGGTGTTCGCCAGTAGACTAAAATTTGGTGAACAATCGTTATCATCGTAGTAGAACTGAATAATTCGGCAAATAATCTTCGACGCGTGTCCTTGGACACGTGTCGGTGTTTAGAAATATTTTCTTGACACGCGTCGACCAATTGTGACACGTGTCACGGCTATTTGCTTATCTGAATCGCACGTAAAATCCTTTGCTAGTGTATCTCACGAAGGATGATTTTTCAAATTCCTCGACTAATACTGCTCGAATTTCTACTTGAACACGAACGAAAACATTGCGTTTATTCAATTAATCTTTTTTATTATTATGTTCTTCGAAAATTTGATTATTAATCACAGGGATGTGTATAGAGAAGAAAACAATTGAAAGTATCATCGAAAGGATGAAGAAGAAAAAGGAAGAAATAATATAACTAAATTATATTTCATTTGATACGATATCATCAGATTTGGATTATCGTTTGAAAGAATAACGAAATCAAATAAAAAAGAGGAAAATGTATTCCATGGACAATTTGGAATTGGACATAATGAATCGTCAATATTTATACGAGGCGCATACTTTTCTTGGTAATCCAGGAATTCCAGCATTACCTGCACATTATGGTACCCAAACTACGGCAAGCCTTCCAACGATTACATCGCAATTACCGTCTTATCCTTCCGGTAGTACCGGAAGCACCAGTGGTAGCGACGTTTATCCATACGACGAAAACAGCAGTGACAACGAAAGCGTTTATAGCAGTGATCAAGAAAATCATGCTGCCAGAGAGTAAGTATTTGTTCAAACAAATATTTCCAATCACATTTGAATTATATTTCGAACTTTCCTATTCGCATGAATTCATATCGAATTCGTCAGACATTTGATTATAATTTTGTATATGTTAAATATATTGAATAATTTAGACGAAGTAGAAGTCGAAGTCGAAGTCGTGGGAGTAGAAGAAACGGTGTAAGTGGAAAATGTCCAAGACAAGCTGTCCAACAACGACAGGCAGCAAACATGCGTGAGAGGCGACGGATGCAGAACATAAATGACGCGTTTGAAGGTTTAAGGGCTCACATACCTACATTACCTTATGAAAAAAGATTGTCCAAGGTGGATACTTTAAAACTTGCCATTGGTTATATTAAATTCCTCAATGAACTTGTTCGTGCTGATAAAGGCAACGATCCACTATCAGGAAACGGTGGTCATTCGAGGTGTTCCGGACGAGATGACACTAAGAAAATCATAGTCCGTGGTGAGATTAATTACAATTACAAATATTTGTCATTTCATTTAAGAAATATTTAAACAATACATTTGAACATACGAATATAATTTTATTTGACAGATTATTTTGTTGTATGTATCAGTAATCCACTCGTGAAACACCTGTCTCGCGTAATCTAACAAATACCGGATATCTGTCGCATGCAGGAAACCAATTGAAATTGCGTCTATAATTTTCTACATAATATTGTCGAATATGTTATTCAAAATTATTATATAGATTTTACCCTAACATCTATGAATTATCGAGTAGAATTAATTTAAAGAAAATGGTTTCAGGAAGCGGAGGTAATCCATTCATATCGCATTCTCTTTCTTGGTCAAGAGAATCGGATGTTTCAACGAACGGTACGATGTATGCAAAAGTTTGGACACCAGAAGATCCTAGAACATCTAAAACCGGCACGACCTACGAATAAATTTCTCTCTCTTTTAACTTTTCATCTCCATAGAAACAGAAAAAGAAAAGAAAAGGAAGACCAACATAAAATACGAAATTTCGTAACGCGTGCGTGTTATTTAGTGTCTAAGAAGGCTACGAAATATTACCAAATATGAAAGTCAATCATCCTAGTCTTTCTTCGAAGAAAAACTTCAACCAAAAATTCAATCTAGTCTATAACTTGCTCGTCTAGTCGACTGAATCACAATGATGAAAATAAATGAAATGAGGATGAATAAAAGGAAAAACTTTTAGTGCAATCATAACGACGAACTGAACAAATTTCATTTATAACAAATAATATCAAATAAAAACCACAAATGTATCATTGGTTCATCATTATATACATAGAATATCGAGATACAAAACTGTAAATAAAAATTCTATATATATATCACTATAAAAAAAAAAAAATTTAATGCATTTACTGCTCATCCTTTTTGTTTTTCGAAAGAATAACATTAATAATTTATTTGTAAAGAAGAAAAGAAAAATGGAAGGAAAAATAGGCGTAGTGGAATAAAATGGGCGGTGCATCGATACTGCGGCGTCGCGACGGCCTGCGTCGTCTCTGGGAGGAAAATAATGGCGACTACTACGACTACTACGACGACGGCTGTGTATCTTCCCACGACGTCGATCTTTTCTTCCTTCCTTATTCTCCTTCCTTTTCTTTTTTCCCCTTTTCATTTCTTTCTCATTTTCTAACAGGAATTACAACTAAAAGAACTTATTTCATCTTTTATCTTTTATCTATATCAAATTCTTTCTACACACATAAATGTCATATACATTTAGACACGCGTGTATATATTTCTTTACACGTATAGGTGTATATGACATTTTTAAATATACAATTTACAACCTAATGCAGAACTCTTTGATATTTAGAATGAAACATATATATTATATATATATATTAGATATTAGATATATAGAAAAGTTAGAAGTAGACATATTCTTAGTCGCTATCAGCTGTGAAAACATTCTTGTTTATAGACACCGTAGTACAATGAGGTGTAATTGAATCCGTATTACACACCGTGGGGGTGCCCGGTGCGCTTAACCCAAAATACACCAGACCAGACCCTTTTTCGAATCGAATCGAATCGGCCGTAGTACTACAGAGCTAGCGGAACGCCCTTTGCTACAGCTATATGAACAATTTGGAGGGTTAGAAAAAAGTTTGGTGGTGGTAGTGATGATACTTTTACTCTCTCCTACAAGAGGCGCGTTTTAATGGTGTTAGTAGTGGTGGTACTGCTGCTGTTTCTGTATTTAACGGTTCGAGAAATCGAAGGGGAGTCCACGTCGATTTGTGGACAATTAGGAACAATTTCCTTTTCTCTCAATAGAAAGAGAGAGAGAGAGAGAGAAAGGGCAAGGGAAAGGGAAAAAAAAGGAAATATATCAACGTCATCTTCCTAGACATTAGCACATTCATTACAACCCTTTTTTTCTCAAGTGAAAACTTCTTTAGGATGGGTATGAATTAAAAAAGGTAAACAAACTTTATTATAATTATAAATATAAATTTATTAATATTTTAACTACAATCATTTACTTTACAGTTATCGGCGACTTCTCAGACCTACACATCGCTGCTATTGCACCAAGTTTAAAGGCACATTGATCTTCTCATGTGTGTTCTTCTCAAGTGTGCCAAATTTTCAACAAATCAGAGGACAAACGATTGCACTATCTCTTCCAACTCCTCCATCTCTTGCTGGAAACATATCCTGGTACTAAAAGGACAATCAGAAGACATCCAATGGATTTTTAACACACATCAGCGGCTCAAAAACAACGTACTACGTTTTGCAGTTACATTTTTATATAAATTACAATTTATCTATGTTATAAATAAAATGTACATTACAGAATTGTAAAAAAAACCCTCTGTAAGAGATTAAAATGAATAAAATATACTTGAATGAAATGACAAAATTTGTTACGATTATTTCTATCTTGTTAAACTAATTCCTTAACAAAAAATCTCAACATTTATCAAAAAAATAATTGCAGAGTTTTAACATCTCAAGGTAAGTAATATCTTATTAATTTTTATCAATTCTGTACCTTAAATACTAGTTTTAAGACACGGCTTACAAGAACTGTTCGTAGCTCGATGCTAGAGTCTCGGATTCGTATCCGCGGATCGCGGGTTCGAATCCCGGCAGTCGAGAAAAATAAAATTTATTTTATTTTATTTAAATTTTCCGCGTGATGACGTCACGATGACGTAGTGAGGGTATGGGGTTTTCTTAAAGGGGTGTTAATACATCAGAACAGGGGTTGTGGCCAAGAAACTTTAGCCACGCCCCTTCTTACTTTTTCGAAAAATATTAACTCGTGCCACTTCCTCGCATATCATGTTCTCCTGTTACAAATTCAGATTTTCGACAAAATTTCGAAAATTTTCTCGAAAATTTGAATTTTTAACAGGATCACATGATGTGCAAGGAGGTATCCGGTTTTCATGCCACTTCCTCAGGTATCATGTTCTCCTGTTACAAAATTAATTTTTCGACAAAATTTCGAAAATTTTCTCGAAATTCTGGATTTGTAACAGGATCACATGATGTGCAAGGAGGTATTAAGTTTTCATGCCACTTCCTCAGGTAACATGTTCTCCTGTTACAAAATTAATTTTTAGACAAAATTTCGAAAATTTTCTCGAAAATTTGAATTTTTAACAGGATCACATGATGTGCAAGGAGGTGGCATGGTTCAGGAATAGGTTTTACAGGGTAGAAATAATTTTAACTAAGTATTTAATTTATTTTAATGATATTTTATTCATTTTAATATCTTACAAAGTATATTTTTTACAATTCTTTAATGTACATTTCATTTCTAAGATARATAGATTACAATTTATATAAAAATATAACTGTAAAACGTAGTACGTTGGTTTTTGAGCCGCTGATGTGTGTTAAAAATCCATTGGATGTCTTCTGGTTGTCTTTTTAGTACCAGGAAACTTCTGTAAGTCCTCAGATATGATGGGAATCGAATATATTCTCAGTCTGCTCCATTAATATGACTTGTAACTGTAACAGCAATAAAGAATATTACATGTAAAACATAAAAGTATTATATATAAGTACCTTGAAAAAGGT